CAATCCCACACACATTACAAGAGTTTTCCCCTTGGTTCTCACGCTTGAGAAAGGGTACCTGCTTTAAATCCAGAAATTTAAAGGGCTGAACTCTGGCAGTTGTCTGGTCTGACCCTCTGCTCAGAGCTGGGCCAGTTTCCAGTAAGTTGCTCAGGGATTTTTCCAAGTAATTCATTTTCAGTGGACAATCTTTTGTAAATATTCATGATGGAGTTTCTCTGTGACAGAAATTCAGTGTCAGTATGGCTGTATTGTATGGGATCCATCTTAGCAAAACTCAGACCACAGCATCTCCTAAATCTTGTTACTGACAATGGATAGAAGGCAGGTGTGCCTGCCAGTTAAACATCTACCTCAGGGTGAGATCATGTCAGCAGCTCTCTGCACTCCCTCTTAATGGAAAAAGATCAACTCAGACACAGACATCTTTGGACAATGACTTGCATCCACAAACATCAGGCACGTAGCCCTGAGGTGTAGCCAAGGCTCATTTTTCATTGTGACAACTGTGACTCTTAGGCCTGACATCTCTCCAGCATCTTCAAACTTTTTTTTTTTTTTGCTGGACTTGGATGGAAATTCATAAATGGAGGCTGAAGCTACAAATAGAGAGAAGCTTTTGACCTAGTGATAAGCCTCAAATATGGACAGGATTCTTACTATTAAACAACCTCACAGCTAGGAAAGCCCTATTAAGAGTGTATATATCTACTACCAGCAAGAAAGAATCATGTTAAATCTTGTCTCTAGATGATCTGCTGGATGGAAAGACACCACTTGGGTAAAGCAAAGAAACCATTCATCTTTCTGCACAAGCTAGTCTTGAAGAGAATATACATTACTGGCAAGATACTTTACCCCCAAAAACCTGGAGTTTGAGCTTTGCTTTCTAGAGCAGAATTAAGTCACTATTAACTAATTTCAAACAGTTTTGCTCATGCAAATCAAACTCTTTACTGAAACAAAGCAGAAGTTTCCAAACACAAAAATAACTTCAATACATACTGTTGCTGCCAAATATCAGGACCATCTATAGTTTTGGACAAAAAGTGGCTATGTAAAATCAGCTTCATAGATGTACTTCTAGAGTTTACACTGTCTAGTTTATTTCCCTGTAAAAAGCCACTTTTGTCTGTGCCAATATTCACCTATGACATCCTGCCCAATAGACAATGGCTGCTCCACTGTATAGACGTCTGTATGTGCTTGTGTTTTTAAAACAGAATACATAAGGTGTGAGCACAAGGAATGAGGCTGGATGTGAAACAAGCAGTACAAGAAGCATTTCAGGATCCCCTTCTGCCCAGGCTGCAATTGTACATGGCCAACAGATGATGGCACCAAAATTCAGTCTGTTAGCAAATGCTACTTGGGAATTGACAAAGTGCTTCGGCAAATACATCAAAATGAATGTACTGTAGCTAATTTAAAGTGCATCAAATAGACACAACTAAGGGGAATGCACCTTTTACACTACATCATCACTTTTCCCTGCTCCCTCTTTGCCCACATCTCAAAGACTTGGTCTTTCAAAGTATGCATAGTCATGGTCTGACTTCTGAGGGACACTATGGACACATATTGATATTAATGGCATCATTACACCTTCAGCCTTTGCTAATGTAGTGTTGTATACAGCAGCAAGAATGCTCTTAAAAGCACAGGCTAACTACAGGATCAAATGCACAAGCAAGAATGCGAAGCTCAAGAATGTACTTCCAAATGCACAAATAATTTGGCTGTTAGAAGTCACAAATGTACCACACAAATACCCCTGTCATAGATATTTCCATGAGTTTATTCAATCTTTCTCAATTGCTCTGGTTTAAACACCATCAGTTTTGGCCAGCATTTGAAAAACCATCTGGTGTATAAATATTCATAAATTAATTTATGAGAAATACAGTCTCCTTTCACTGCTTCTCAGGTAAACATCAGGTGCAGCTTTAAAGAAGCAGCAGCAGTACAGTTTTAAAGCAGCAAGAAGTGTAGATGTGCTTTAAGATTTGACAACCTGATTAGCTGTTTAGTATTTCTAATGCTGATTATACCTTAAAGCAGGAAGGAGGCAGGTGTTAAATAACTAAACAAAGTACAACAAACAAACACTTTGGTGTTGAACAATTTACTGGATTTAGTCATTCCAGAGGTTTAATGTTGTTTTAGAAGTGTTTTCTGTTTGCCATATGTTTGTAGAGCCATCATTAAAACTGTAATTTTATTATTGGAATAAGCCTCAAAAATATTGTGTCCCAGCATTACCTGGAACCAAAGGTCAGATCAGCATTTTTTTCATGGTTTTAAGCTCTGATATACCTCAGGCAAGACAAAGAGGTCCATTAATTCTGGAAGGCCAAAACCCCATCAATTTGTTAGAAGTATAATTAGTAGGTTGAACTCTATAGTGCATAGTAATGCTAGTGGCCACAAAGTTTTAAAGGGTAAAACTCACTGATATTTCACAAGGGGTAGTTAAAATTTAAAAAATACCACAAAGTTTAATTATGGAATATAAAGAGTAAAACATTTGACACCTGACACATTCATGTGTTCCTATTGCCAAAATGACTGCATTAAAATTTGAAAGCTTTCAACTGCATTTTCTGTGTTTAAAGATCACTGTGAAAGCTATTTCTATAACCTGTCCATTTATCCCTGCTAGCTCATTCATTTACTGATAGGACTGTCATTTGTTGACAGACAGTAATGAAGGTATTAGTAGCTGGTTTATCCTGCTTTGTACATTTTATATACCTTTCCTCATTAAAGAATATTTTGACACATTAGAACAAGACAACATTATTCTTTATGCTTGATGCACAGGTAGCATCTTTTTACTAGTATGTGCCTATGTTAAAAAGAGAAAACATTTTTATTATTAGAAACTGTGCACACTCTGCTTTTAAGTTATGTCAGGAAAAGGTTTTAGATGAGATGTCAAAATCTGGTAATTCAAATATGCAAATATGACTTTTACACCATCAAAAATAATAAGATTCACAACCTACCTTTGTTACTCAGGCAAAGTATGTTGCAGGGATTTTTTTTTTGGCAACTCCGATGCTGTCTGTACTGTTTTAAAGTAAATCTTCTGTTCTATATGACTGATGCTTCTCCCTGTATTTTGAGTATTATACCTTGGTTACTTGCTCAGGAACAGCTTTGTAAATGAAAACTGGAATGGAAATTAGGAAATACTTTGTTTCTACAAGAGATACTATATATTCTCTGCTTAATCTGATGTTCACGTGGGCTAATTTTAGAAAGTTACTTATTCTCTGTATTTCTGATTTAGATCCATTAAAATCCTTCTTTTCTCCAATCTCCCACTGTAAACTTCTTACAGGATTTTTTATTAAAAACGACACCATATTTATATGGTATATTTTTTTTTTTTACCTAGTTAACAAAAAGTGTACCATGTACGCTGGGTTGGGCTTGTGCAGGCAGCTGTGAAGTGAAAAATGACAACAAGGGGGATTGGGATTGAAAGGCCAAAGTTGCACAGTTAAAATAGCAGTGTTCATTATCAGTTTCCTAAGTAGCTAAAATAAAAAGCCAGGACAGACTAGAAGGGATTTTGTTCAGTATTTTACATCTTTTCCTTGCACTACTGTTTTTTTTCCTCACAAGACCATAGATCAGTTACTAAACTACAGAAGTCCGCCCCTGTCTTTATCAACATTGTTATAAATTATTCTAATTGAAGGTTAAATTATAAAAATGTGAAAATACTTATTTCTCTTTTTTTGCAATTAAAATACAGTCTTCAAAACCACTGCAGCTAAAGAGAGAGCGCCGAGCCCGGGATCAGAGGTCCAGGACTGAGGCCCTGGAATCAGTAATCCTGAAAGCAACACAATACCAGCCCAGTATCTGCCTAAACCCTCCAGGAAAATACAATTCCCAAAGCTGAAATTCCAACTAATATAAATCCAAAGAGAGGAACTGGAGGGTCAGGGGAGGAGCCTGTGACTGGTAGAAAAGCACCAGAAGTATAAACAGAATTAATTTCTCCACTCCTAGAACACAACTCAGTGATGAGGGGATAGGGAGAATGAAAATCTCAGGAGGAGTTTCAAGAAGCTGAACCTTTCTGGCCACATAAGAAACAAAAGTCTTTTGTTTTAAAGAAATGTACAAGGATTGTAGTGCTGTATTTATCTTTGGCAATCTTAATCACATCCAAAATATCATGCTCTGTTCTTCTGGGACAAACATATGTGTGTTCATGTATCTGTGTATTTTAGTAAAATATATAGAACTAATCCAGTGGTCTGATGAGAAATGCACATTACATTTAAATGAGCAAAGGGAATAACAAAGAAAACAGATAAATCCCATTACAGGTGTCTGTGAGGAAGAGAATACTGATGTGAAGCTCCAGTTTGAGAATTTTAACAGCTGTCAACATTAAAATACCCCAGTGGGAATTAGAAGAGTAAAGCCTTTAACAAATCTTGCAGGTTACTGATGTTTGGCCTGTGCATCCACAGAGGGCTGAAATTAATGGAGCAAGGTTTAAACTCAGTGGTTTAAGATAATTTTGTATTCTGGTAAAACTCATCTTCATCATCCAGAATGAATGCCTGTCTTTTACAAAGAGAAATTCAGTAAATGAAGCATTTTCAATCTTTTGAATGCTCAGACCAACATAGGCAACCAGAGGACTAAAAGTACTATCTATCCAGGTAATTTTCAATTAGTAAAATAAATAATTACAAGTTCCAAGAAGACAATCCTTATTAACAGTTTTGCAACCCCTTAGAATACTCACTGTAGAACAAAATGAGCCCCTCCTATGCTCACTTGTCCTTAAATGAAAAATTATGGAAATAAAAAGAATAATAAAAATATTTAAAACAGTTGATGTTAACGTGTTTGTGAGAGAAGGGTAGCTTTAGCTTTCTGTGCCAAAGGTGACAAACTGCTCCACTGGTGAAGTCAAGGGTCTTAATTGTTATTTTGAAGGAAATAACCACAACTATTACAAATGAATTCATTTTCAACTACTTGTAATGGAAGGGATATCTACAACACATATCCAGAAACAGATTAAGAACCATCATACAACTGAAAGGTAATTTGCACACACACATAAAATCTCACATTTGAGTCCAGAAAGATCAGTGCTGTAAACCAGTATAGAAAATTCAGCATATTTAAAACATAACAAAACTTTTGCAAAGTAACATGTTTTCCCAATTGTCCACCACCTAAATGAGCAAGGAAAATTGTGTGCAAGAGAGCCTCTCTTCCTAGAGTCCACCTTCTGCAATGAAATCTAAACCATGGTTAAACCCAGTTTTTTAGCTAACTACACTACAACACAGTAGTATTTGGCTAAGCCTGAAGATCTCCAGGGATTATTAACCCTTTGCTAGCAAATGTAATCATTAAATTATTTTTTTGCAGACTGAGGAAAGCAGAAAAGAAAATACCAAATTGAAGATCTAAGGTGAGTAGAGCACTAGTCTAATTTCTTAAATGAGCTACACCTATCCAGTGGCTGGAGCACATACTACTCATCCCAGAGCTGTCTGAAGGTGAAGTGAAAACAGGCTACATCCTGCAGCACTAACTCATCAACTGCCATGGAGAAATCTGCTTAAGCACAGAGTGCTGGGGATGGTTTGCAGTGTGTACTCCTCAGAATGTTGCTAGAGAAATGAGGCAGTTACAAATGTATTGCAAGAGAAAGGACCTGACTGTAATTAAAGGCATTAAAGGCTTTTAAAATTTAATGTGGATACCAAATTACATCTTATTTCTCTTTCCTTAACAAACAACAACAATCTTATAACCTAAAATAAGCTTTTTTAAAACTTAGAACAGCAGCTATTACTCAGTGGCTGTATTGTACTATCACCCTGAAAATACCACCCAATGAGGTGTACTTGCTGTACTTGCCCCACAAATATATGAACCAATCCCTATCCTAAAGGGTTTGTAGTTTGCATGTTATAAAGTCTAATTATAGTGTGAGCATAAACCACAAAACCTCCTACAAGTGGCAAAAATCCGAAAAATCAAGATAATTACAACCCTTGCTCATCCTGATTTTTGAGGATATTTTTAGAACAGCATAGGCTGATGTGCTCTGAGCTTTTTTATATTTGCATTAAGTCCTCTGTGATTCCTCCTCTGAAATGTGTGCATATGCTGAGTCCATGTGAGACGCTACCACTGGCGCTTGTCATAAGAATTAAATCCCTCTCAAGCTTGTTTACAGCTCAGCACTTGTCATACTGCTCCCCTGAGCTTCATGCCTGGTTGGGTTTTTTCTTTCTCTTTGGCTTTGTGAAAGATTTAATTTCTTTTTTGTTTATGTGTGTACTTACACTTGCAGGTGCAGAAAAGAAAAAAATCACTGTACCCAGATGTTCTGAAGCTGCAGTAGCATACATACAGCTCAAATTAAGGAGAAAAACTGTAGCAGATAAAACCAACTTTCTCATACATTCTAGAACATATTTAATAAACTTATCATGTTTCATTGACAAGAAGACTCTCAAATTCCATTTCAGGAAGACCAAAATATCTTATAGTTGTTTTCTTTGCCCTGTTGCAAATAGATTTTAAACATTAGAACATGGTTCAATTACTCCTATTTTCAGTTTCACGAATATCTTCTTGTAATGGTTACAGACTCCATCACCACTACAGCTACTGCAAACCAAGCTGTCTTAGCTCATTACTGAGTTTGTTGAAACTCCCAGTTTCACCCAAATTTTCACTCATAATTTGAAAATGATATTGTATTGTTAAAAAAACCAACAAGAAGCACAAAACAAAACAAAAACCAACAAAAAAACCCTAAACAAGCCTCTTGCTTCTGTAGTAACAGGAGAAGTCATTGTGTGGATTGCCTGTAGGGACTGCAGTTCTGATCTCCCATGTCTAGTTAAGCATGCCTCCATTTCACAACTGTCACTGGTTACCCCTGCAATTCCTTTCCCCACCACACACAGCCCATGAAAGGTGACAATGCCACTAAGCTGTGGCTCCACAGGCAGCTGCTGCAGCCATCCCTGCACACACAGAGCCGTGGCTTGTCTGCCTCACCTCCCCAGCAGCTGCAGGCACAGCCCTGCCCAGGCAGCACGAGGGCTGCTCCTGCCTTTGCTCCACCTCAGCACCTGCATGCACAGCCTTTCCACATGCATGGTCCTAGGCAGCCCAGTTTAGTCACACAACTGTGTGTGGAACAAAAGAATTCTTCTGTGAACTTTTTTCTGATCAATTTTTACCTTTTGACTTTTCTAGTCATGCACAATTTGCAACACAGAACTTGCTGACAATGGGAATAACAAAAATACAAGCATCTGATGCAGAACCCACTGGAATTTTAAAGGGCACTCTTGTGAAACCTAAACAGATGAATCTGCTTTTTTTTTAGCTGTTTTCAGCTTCAGTAACCTCCTCTAGAGCTCCACTGGACACTATGTGCAAGAGCCTGATCAATGCTTCTGTGACATGACCTCTACAATCACAGCATTTTGCCTGCTGGCACAGTGGGGAAGTCAATTTTTTTACTTTTATACCCAAGTATTTGTTGGGTTTTCTCTGGAATTCCAGCAAGCATTAACATTTCCTTCTCTGCATGATCAGCAGGGTAAATGGAAATAAAAAGACCTAGTGGCTAATACAAGTGAGGTGCAGAAAGTGCTTTTCACCTCCCCATAACCAGACACATTGCAATGATATATATTACACTTGAGGGACAGGAACTATGTTTGGACCAAGTGAACTTCGTCAATTATTGATCTTTAACTAATTGGTGTACATTAAACTCAAGAATATCAGTTTAGAGCTAGGTCAAATCTTTGTGCTGTGAAGTGACTGCTTTTGTCTGATGCTGCACAGAATTTCATGTTTCTTAATAGAGATGTCTACTCTCATTAACCAAACTCTTATTAAATAAAAGAACCAAAGTAGAAGCATTTTGCTTGTACATGTTCTATATTCCACTCACAGTAAAATTCCCATTTTCTGCTGCTTCTTATTGATCTTTTATTGCAATGAGGCATCTTGGTAATCCAGTAACACTCTTTGTTTGCTGCTTTGTGTTTTCTCTGGAGATTCTGTTCAGAATTCCTATCACCTTTAGCATCACCTATAAAGAAGAGAATACAGCTATTATGGCAGGGGTCAGTTCAGAGTGGATATATTTTACCCACTCTAATTAAGGAGAAGCAAAAGACTGACCTTCTAAACATTTTTTCCACAGCTCCCACTCCTTGTTCCCTGTAGTTTTGCAGGTTAACATACATAGAAAAGAGATGTGACCAAGAAATTCTCATAACAGTGCAAGCAGATTGTAAGCTCTCTCAAACAATACTTTTTTTGATGGAAAGAACTAACACATTTGTAAGGACTGTGTAAACACATTCAATAAAGAATACATTAATATAAATCACAAATTATGTGAGAAGACAACAGATATTATTATTACTGTCAAAATATGAATAGCAATTAAGAGGCAACAATATGTTAAAAGCTTCCAATATAGCTCAGTAGCTCACCTAGTCAAGAAGTGTGCTTGGATTAGTAAAATGCTCTAATTCAAATATAATGGCAATTTTAGAACAAACTGTTTAGACAACTTTATGCTCAAAACAGCCTAAGGAGTGCTGCTGAACTCTCATTTTGAACATGATGAAAACAAGATCCTCTTTGTGTTTTACTACTCCGTTCAGATACATCAGGGAAAATAAAAATCAAGTAATGTTGTCATTATAGTTGCACATAACTCTGTGTGTGTACACAAAGGAATCAAGGAACAGTCCATAGTAGCTAAGGCTTCACTTTCCTACACTGCCACCATTTCTCTAGCAAGTTCTGTGTTTCTGAAGTTTTCCTTTAAGGCAGAATTGCTCATAATTACTCACAGCACTGGGATTCATTCTGACTGCCTCTACTCTGTCCCACTTAAATGATATCTAACAAACACACTGGATTTCAGACCTGGAACACTGGAACAGATCTGCAGGTGATTTTCCTTTAATCAAAAGGACTAATTCTTAAATACACTATTTATGAGCAAAACATATGAAGCTTACACTTTCAAAGCTACCACACTGTTAGTATGAGACAACTTCCTTCTTAAAGAAACCAGTTTATTCACAAACAATTTTGGAGAACACAAATGCCTAACACTGAGACATTAGTGAACTAAAGTATGAAATGCAGTTTATTTACATTAGATTCATAGCATAAGCAACCTAGTAATGCTGCTTAAAAATGGAGAATTGCTTGCTAAAAAGCTACTTGTTTTGATCATGGATTTAATCTTATTTTGGCCTGATTACAGCCCACACATGTAATTTGAGGAGTCAATTTCCTTAATATGAAGATAAATTTGTCCAAACATAAATGCAGATACAGATATAACATCACAGTTATCTTTCTGGCTGTCAGAAAAAACTCAGCCTCTCTGATATAAGAGTCCCTCAACAAACCCAGCACATTTTTATGTCAACAAACTCATTAGCTTTGTAGCACCTTGAAGGCACAACTACATTCACCTCCCTCAAAGTATTTCATAGATAAACATTTTCCACTTTTTTGTTTTCTTTTATCTGGTGCAAAATGGAAATACCAACTTTATAAGGTTAATTTGGGTCAATGAAATGACTGAGTACAAAATTTTAATTAGCTGTCTTACAGCTATAATACTGTTCCAAAACTCAAAGGAACTCTGCAGAGTGTCTGTAAACTTGCAAACTAATATGAAATACCAGTCAATATACTTTCCCTTTTAGTACAGAATTAATTGGGAAGATTGGAGTCAAAATCCTGCATAAGAACAATGTTCAAAAGAGATGACATGCCACCCTTCATTGAAGGACTGAGAACTGTCCTTTTTAATTACATTAAAACTGGAATAAATATTTTCTTCAAAGCAAAAATATTCAATGTAATCATAAAACATACTTACCTTTTTCTTTTATTAAGGGCATAAGCATACCTCAAAATATACAGGATACAGCTAAACAAAGTAAGTTCACAAGCTGCAAAAACCAACACTAAAGAAAATAAAGTATTATTAAATTACATTTAAAATTAAGTATAAATTTGCCCACCACAAAAAAATCTGAGCGGTCTGTAACAAAATTCTGCTGTGATAGCTTATGGTCACAGTCTTTAGTGGAATATTTGTGTATCTGACAGTATTTAAAAAAATTACTTTTCTGCATGCCAGCATATAAATAACAATGCTTAATGCCTGCAGAAAAACTTTAAGATCTTTTATGTAAGGTGCTGCAGGATACAAGCATTACTCAAGATTCTTTACCCTGACATTTAGTTTCTGATTCCTTCTAGAAGGAGCATGACAGAAATGAGATTTCACACATATCGCCCAAGGTTCTTTTCTCTCACTGCCCAAGGAAAAGTAGACAAAGTCTTGTTATAAAAATTTCCCTTTTTAAATTACATCACACAATATTTAGAATTCAGTGTGTGCTACAATTGGATTTTTTTTTTCTTGCATTTACTCAGCCATTCCATTTAGAAAATCTGAATCCCAGGTGAACCAAAGCTTCTCTCCCAAACTTCACAGGACAAACAGACACAGGTTGCACTAAGGAGCATCCAAGTGACCGAATGTTCACTGCTCATCATGATGACTGCAGTTTTCTAGGAAATGTCAATAATGTAGAAAGCATACACATGGGACACGAATTCCTTAAAAACAAGTACTATATAAACAAGTTGCAGTGATATTCAAGCAAATATGATAAAGCCCTTGAGAGGAGGGGAAGGGTGATTCTACTATGGACACCAAGAATTAAGTGACTGTTTTTAGGTAAGGCAATGAAAACTGGATGTGAAATGTCTTCTCCAGGACAAAAAGGGAGGTGACACTCTGTAAGAACTACTGATGGCTGGATGGAAAAAACAACTTTTAAATAACTCCAAAACAACAAATTCAATCATGTGCAGTTATGTTCAATTAACTGAAAATGCATTAATGAAACTTGATCCTCTACAGCAGCTTCTGCCAAAAGTACCAAGTCAACTTATCTCCTCCTTGGGAAACCTCCCAAATAACATTATAGAAATTTAGCTTTGTACTTGTGCAGTTTCCTACAGCGTTTATGATCAAATCTATTACTCCATCCAGGAAAATTAGTAATGAGTGTTAGTTTTCCTTCTTGACAAAAATACCGTACCAGTGTTTTCATTATTTTCCTTCCCTCCATATAAAAAGCTATCTGATGCTTTTGCTAGAACAATCAAGTTCTTCCACCTCTTCTTTCAGAAGGACCAGAAGACATTTGAGTGGCTTTTACATTACGTTACTTTTTGCATAAGCATTGCCAACATGGTTTGAAACAAATGACCTTTTACATAATAAGCAGCTAACATGGATATAATTCTGCCAAATATGCAGGCTTTTGAGTTCTATTTACCACCTTTTCCCAACACTATGTGGCCAAATCCTTCAAAATTCTTATTAAAATGGTAATGTTTTAAAAGTTTAAATGCATAATAAAAGACACACATGTGGAAATTTCAAGTATCACAACTGGTTCCAGTTGAACTTTTATCTTTTCTAACACCACATATCAGAGCATTATTCAAAATATGTAATTTGCATGGAGGATCACCAAGCAGATTAAAAACACTGCAGATCTCCCTGGGTTCCAGCACAGATGCATTCAGCACTCCCTTGGTAAAACACACATCCAGATTTGTAGTTGATGATCTGCTTTAACTGCATAAAATAAAGCATCACATTGAGTAACCTTGCATGTGTAAAAGCATGAAGACATCAGACTGGTTAACCAAAGCACTATTTCATGGTTTCATTAAAACTTTTAAAGAACAAAGGAATAATGGAACTTATTCTTCTCAGCTTTTTCACATATTGTGGTTTTGAAGTTCTGCAAGAGGAAAATCTCAGAGCTGTGAGTACATAAACTGGTCCGTTTTCTTTTTTAAAAATCTTCTACACGTGCATGGGTGACAACGAAGATGCAGTCTAAAATTTAAATTCTACACCTCTTTAGAGCTTGAAGGAACTTTTGAGGCTGTTGAGATCTGTTTTATTTAGAGGTTCCAGTAGTAAGCTGGATGGTCTCTAGATTTTAATACTGTTGGACTCACTCAGCAGCTGAGCTCAGTGACCTTAAGGGGACAGAGGAAACTTCAGTTGCAGGCTGATGGGCCAGAAAAAAATCTGTACAGTCTGGAAAGGTTAGCACACCATATCACAATACACAGGTAAAAAAAAATGTTTATGCATAGGCACTTGCTCATTTAATTCTAAAATAAAACAAAGAAACCAACCAAAACCCAACAAAAATCCCCAGTGAAACACAGGTTCTAAAATTCACAATAATGAATTACTTACTTTTTGGGAACTGTCACTAAATCTTTTTAAAAAATAGGAGAAGGCTACGCCCAAAGTTTCAAGTTGACCATAAAATTATACACAAAGACAATTTTTTGTTGCAAATATTTACTCAAAAAGTAATAATTTACAGCAGTACTTTAACAGCTGTTCAAAACATTTAACATTCATTAAAAACAAAAATGTAAGTCAAAAGCACATTCTGAATGTTTCAAATGGAGCAATGAAACCAAAGGAGCAAGCTACTGTTATCATATGCATTCCTAAATCTAGCTAACTAGAAGACAAAAAAAAAACCTCAAAACCAAAAAACCAAACTAAAACCAGCAGCCATTTTTCAGTACATAACTCAGACTACAAAAAGTCCTGAAATTGAACTGTACAATACTACTTTATATGCCCTTGTGTCCTATTTTTAAGTTAGCCAGTAGCAGCTGCAAAATGGCAAAATGCATGCCAGGTGGTGTTTCCAGTTTGGAGTTTTCCTTATTTTTGCTTAGAACCATTTTTACATCAAACCATACTTTGGTGTGACTTACAGACCATTCCTATGGGTCTATGCCTAAGAGGAATCAACCCAATGGTAAAAGCCTAAGGGCTACAGTACTTTCAGCATTGTGTCCTACTTCCTAGAGCTAGGTTTGGTAGTTCTGCACAGCCTGCACAGTGAAAACTCCACAAATATAGTTTTTTATTGTAATAATTTCACTTTCACTGAAAGTTTATTAAGGTAAGTTTACAGCCTGGCAGGATTACACCTGTACAGAGGTGCACAAATTCATATACTTCTGTTTACATGCTTTTACAGACAGGAATGTGACACCAAGTTCCAAGGTTTATATTTACCTAAACTATCAGCAGACCAATAACCTCCATTATAAGTGTGCTCCATGTCAGCATCAGAAGGAAATTCCTACTCAATCCCCTGTTCAATGATATTCACACTAAAGAATTTAGAAAAATACTTTCTGGGCGAACAAATCACCTTATCCTGGGCTAGTTAACTATTAAAAAATTAGAATTTATACCTCTTATCAAGTATCAATCTAGTAATATATCACATCCAAGAGACAGGAAGATATATTTTAACATGTTACCTTTTTGAAGCTTAATGAATTCAGTCATACATACACATACATGCTACCTCCATATGCAAACTTCCCTTTGGTGTCCCTTTCTCTTCTCCTCCCTTGAAAAATTTTTAGTCTTTAGCATCTGTGAGCACACTCATCAGGAATGGTCCATGGTGTTCTTAGCACAGTTTAAAACAAACAATAAAATGAACACAATTTCAGCTTGCTTCATTCTCATCTGTCTTGTCTGCAGTTGTTTCCATTCTGCTGGGATTGCTTTCTCTAGAAGTCTCATCTGTTTGCTCAGTGAGCTGTCCAGCCTTCTTTGCCGAAGGTGCGACATTACCTTTTTGGAGAATTTCAGTAGCCTCGTGCTCTAGTACTTCTGATGGAGTTAAAGGCTCCAAATGAATACTGCCTTGTTCACTGATGTCTGAACTCACAGATTCAGGCTCATCCCTCTTTCTCAGGAACTGCTCAAAGCTGACATCTTCCCCCAGGCTCAGCTTTAAGTCCCTCACGTTCCTGGCTGAAAGCGCAGTTCCATCCCAGCCACGCGCTTTCGTCTGCTCATTCAGGATGGCAGCCGAACTTTGGCACCTTTTCATCTCACTTTCATCAGGAATACATTTTTGTTTCTCATCTACTAACTGTCTGCTATTAGCTGATTCACAGTATGCTCTTTTCTCATGCAAAGAATTCTTTGAGCAGTTGCCAGGGAGTTCCAAACGACGGACATTTTCTGGATGTGACAGTGACGAGTCTTCCCTCTTTTCAACGGATGCAACTTTTTTAGTTTGATTTCTACTGCATTCTTTTGTTTCATCTGAAGAGTCGTGCTCTTGTTTGCTGAATAAAACCAAAACAAGTTATTTTTAGATATGATTTCTATAATTTTAGGTTATAAATGAAAAAAAGCAATGCTTGGCTATTCTCTGCAAAGTGACACTCGGAGGAGTATTAAAGATTTCCTCTTTGGGATTTTCAAGAGGATTCAAAGGAAGAAAGGCAGAATTTAACCAATAGCTGCATTTTTCTCATCTATTTACAAACTCAGCTTTGTATTTATCAGTCAATTAATACTCTAATTCTTGCATTTCAGCTCCAGAAAGGAAGGCTGCCTTTGTGTGACACATGGAATTTCCCAAAATAACACCTGCAGCTCCTCTACCTGCACAGCCTCTTTGATACAGATAAAATTGCTTAATACCTTTATACCACCAACTGACTCTGCAGTACTCATGAGAATCAAGCTAACAGCTGGAAATCTAAATTAATAAATTCAAAATTTATTTGAGCAATCACAACCTGCACTCACTGAAAAAGTAAATCTGTGAAGCAGCATTTTCAGTCACCTTTCAGAGTAAAACTGTGTGCTTATAAAGAGGAAACACAGAGAAGTTCAATTTGTTCTGTAAAGTTTAAATCTGGTAAAAGTGGAATAATTCTTAATCAATCCAAAGTTTTTCAGAATGATAAGCAGATTGTATTACCTTAAATGATGATGGTGACAAACAAAAGAAAATGGTGGGGAGAGGAAAGGAAAAGCTGGAAGAACAGGAATTTGTCTGATTTCAGATATAAATTCTATATACAAAGTGAAATTAAGCTAATTGTCCCAAATGACCTTTTAAAATTTAAATTGAAAGTAACAATCTGAACAGTAACATGCAGAGAAAAGCTGTGAGAAACACAATATCACCACTTAGCTCATTAATCAAAATGCATTTTCATTTTACTTCTTCAAGTGGTTTTAAACATTTTTTGGCTCAAGTCACTCAAATTCTGTAAGCAACACACTGTTCAGAACTCTTAAAAAGAATAACCAATCCTTTGCTACTATGTTTTTTCATATATTTTCAAGCTGAAAACCCACACATGTTCTACTTCTCCTCTGAATTTAATTTAAATGAATTTAAAACAATTGCAGTGATTCAATTACAAGGTAAGTGACATGGAGTTCTACAGAAAAAGGCTGTTCTGGAAAAGGAGCTACAACCATTCAGAAATCTGTTTTCAAGTTTTACTTTTATTTAAATAAACTAATCCAAGAATATTCCATTTCCTCCTTCTGCTCTAGGTCAGAGGGATAATTTGAGCAGGAGCAAGAGACTGTTGGGAGCCCCTTCAATGGTGAAAGTTTGGTGGTCACTGGGGTACTCACAGGAATCTTTTCATCCTGTTACACTGACTCTGCATTTGTTGTAAGCAATGGACTCAAGAGAGAGGCCAAACTCTTTACCAAATTACATCCTGTATTTGCTACTTTTGTCAAACAGAAATGTTAGGGTTTGGGGGTTTTTCTCATTTAGTGGAGTAGCTAAAGAGTAGATGACTTTCTCAAATACAGAATTTATCTATCCAAGTTCTTCTCTCTCAAACATCTAGAAAGAAAAGGGTAAAAAAAGCAATATCAGAAGGAAAACTCCAGACTCAGTTCCAGTACAAAAATGTCAGCTAACATCAAAGCAGCTTTTGTTGTTCTGTGTTCTGCATCTTTTCCAAATGTAAGGCTACAGTGTGGGGTTTGGGTTTTGTAATGTTTTTATTTGGGGGTTTAGACAGAGGATGTTGCATTTTTTGTTTTACTTTTTAAATAAAACCCAGTATTATGGAACACAATTATACGGAGAAAAAAAACAAATTTGAGAGCCATCTTCTATAGTGCTGAAAAACAATATGAGATAAAAAAGAAAAACTAAGAGAAAACACACCTGAAGTGGTAATGGAATCTATGGAAAAGGTGTGTCTGTGTAAGACAATTGTTCTTAACACTTCTGAATGAAAATGAAAGGTCTTCTCATTTCTACAAAATCATTGCTTCTGTTAAAGAAAGTCACCAAACTCTTGGTATTTTGGAAAGCTGGCAAGCAGTGCTACAAGACAAATCTTTCCTAGGTTTGAGGACTTCTCTCACTCTCTTACCATCTGGGATCTCTGTAACGAGAGTGCCCTTTCTGAAGGGTAACAAAAAGACAACTTCTGAAAAAAAATCTGTAAAATCAGAATTCAAAGATATTTCTGGAAAAAACCCCACTAAGAATATGTACTGTGAGATCACTTAGATTCTGAGAGGCCCCCAAAAATTACAGTTCAGAGTCAATATTAAGCCAGATCTCCAAGTGACCAATTCCCAGGTTCCCTGAATATGAAGACACATAAGGAAAGCAAAGCTTTCCTTCACTGGAGGCTGGCATTCAGGAGTCAGCCAAAGGGACTGACTATAAATTACAAACTGACTATAAATTACAAACTGACTGTAAATTACAAACTGACCATAAATTACAAACTGACCATAAATTATGAACTGCACATCCCTGCTGTGGCTGCCCCACTGAAGCTGTGCCTCTGACACAGCCCAGCTTTCTGCAGTAAAACACACAAAGCTGGATTTTTATATGCACATCCTCTGAACACCATGACCAGTAATTTATGTATAATTAAAAAACAATTGTCTTGGATCTTCACACTAGTGATAAAGGTCAGAGAGACTATGTGTAGGAAAGACAAGACATGACTCCCAGCTTAGCTTCTTTCACTCTAATGGAGATTTTGGTGTGGATCATGAATTAAGATTGAATGTTTTAAAACACTGTATGGTTGAAATAGAGATAAGGATGAAGATACAGTAAGAAAGCAATGTGGTAATCTGAAACTGATTTTTAAAGTTAATACTTATGCTGAGCTTAAACATACTTCACTGCAGAATTCTGAAGTGTTTTACTGGGTGTACAGAAATTATAAGATCAACTTGTTTCATGTAAGCCCTTCCAGTTATCTTCCCTCAGGAAAACCAGGAACCAACAGTCTGAAGATAGTGAACATTACTTTTATTCTAATTCTACCTGAGGAAAGATCTCCACACCAGAAAGGTCTTTTAAACCATGACTGAAGTATTTTAAGATCTGAAATCCTAAATTAGGTGCATAAAGCTACCTGACAGAAACATTCCCCAGTATAAGCTCAGTTTTCTTTCATTTGTCTACCATAACCCAAACACCCAGAACAGAGCAGCAGTTGACTTAAGAGAACTGTAAAATGTTGCAGCTGACCTCCAACTACTGCATGGAGGGGATGCTTCCTGCAAAACACCTTTACAGGCAGTCCATACATTAGATGAGCTATAAATTATTTAAATTTATTGACTTTGAAAAGCACATTAATTAAACAGCTTATCACAACATCACCAAAATTGATTTTCTGTGTTTCTGTAAGAAAATGTTATCGCAGAGATAGCAAGAAGTATCTCCTACAAACTTGTTAAGTCATCAGTTCTAACAAAATCTAACCTTTCAAAGGTTCTTACAGAAAAAAAGAAAAAGCAAACAAACCCCTCAAAACTGCTTATGCCTAAATCTTCTTTGTTGACGTTGCATTAAAGGCAAATTTAATCTGCTGAAGTATGGTGCTGCCTCTATTATATTTAGATAATGTTATTAATCATAAATTAAATTATTCACAACCTCAGCGAGTCTTAATGGTTGTCTACAGGGTGCAAAGTATTTGACATAAAAAACAGCTTTACCACTAAAATTTTATGAAAACTGTATACTAATATTAGATTGATCAACCACATGTATTTTCCTAAATCCAAAAAAGCAGCCTAACCCCAGACCTTTTAAAGAATGTAAGCACACAGTATCAGTACACTGTGGATTCTTTCTAACATTAATGTTCCAGCAGCTGACCAGCATCTTAAGCTGTAGCATAAACAAACACTCACAAATGGGAGTATTCTCATTTCTGAAATTCAGTCTCATTGCTTGTCCTGCTCTCACACAATAAATTGGATATATTTGCACACACACACAAAGCTCAAACCATGAGCCACCCTCTTCACAGCAATCTCTCATGTTTCCTTACAATCAAAGGCTCACTGGGTAAGTAGAACAAACTCAGCTGGAATCTTTTGCCAAGCATTTCTCTTTTGTCCACACCTGACCAAAAGCAACTTTTTCTGGGATGACTGTAGCTTCAAGAATTTCTAGAAATCAACTGTAAGTGGTAAGCTATCTTCCAGACACTCAACTGAATCATACACAGCATTAAAAAATTTAAATTTATTTACACCCAAAAGAATGGAAAGGTCATTTGGTTTGGAATTTTTAGGCGTTGGCTTTTTTTTTTAATTAATCCCACCTTCTTGCAAAAACTCCCTCTTTTGACAGATGTAACTTTAAATGCTGCACAGCTACATTTAACAGAATAACAGAAATGAACATTTACTTTGTATGACTCTTCGAACAAAGATAAAACATAACTGGCTAGTCAAGCAGTGACACTCAATGTCCTAAAAATAAAAAAGATAGGTTAAGCTACATACAAATGAAATCTTAATTCTTTGACCATAAGCTAAACTGGATAGATCATGCATATTCATGCTCTGCCCTGGCAGATATGGTCCAATATGTTGCATTATTCATGTAAATTGTTGAGTTCATAAAAGAGATTTAATACTAAGGCAGGTTTCTTTTAATGAATTAGAACTGCTTTTATGAGTTTTCAACATCAGTAACTTTTCTAAGATCCTCACACAAACGGAAACAGGATGTCACAAGGCCAATTGATTCTACATGAACCATTGCCACAAATCTCTCATATCTCTAAGTACCCTAAGAAGTGTTTAAAATGCAAGTTAGAAACTTAAATTTCTTTAGCAAATCTGCAAAAGAACCGAAGGACAATATTCCAAATAAGCATTTAAAGATGTAGAATTCACATAACTTCAAATCCAAGTGTCTATCTAGTGTCACCTCTGGGAAATTCTTAGAGAATGTTTCTGAAAGCCACAAAACCCTGCAATCACATTCCATTCTTCTTGTTGTCAGAAACCTGAATGAAAGTGAAATACGAATTCAACTTCCTCTGAAATGAACAGCATGCTCACAATGAAAACACAAACTCACTATGCTTTTTTGAATGCTGCTGTGTCAAAACAGAATTAAGTCCTGCAAGAAAAACCTGTAGTTGGTAAGTGATGCTTGAAGCTGAACAGCAGCATTCAAGATGGAACACAGCTTCTGTCAGAAGGAAAAAAGTTGCAAAAAGAGCAAGACTTTAGAATACTGAATAAGTGTGCAAATGCTCAGCCACAAAATACGTGTAAGAGACCATGGATGACAGGATCCTTGCCATTATTAGCAATACTAAACAGCTGCAGGAGCTCACTATCACCAGACCTGTGATTGAGTACTAAAAGTCAAGAGAACAAAAAAACTGGTCAAAATGAATTAATCTCAAAGAATTTGATTATTCAGGAAAAGGAAATGCTGCAAATCAAGAACAGCTTGCATTCACCAACACCAAACTCTTACAACTAGGAAGCTGTATCAGTGACTGATCCTTAAGTGAGGTCAGCTTTATCTATTATGCTGTTCTCAGGCTAGGAAATGAGATTCAAAACATATCCACTGTAAACAGGAGGCTGAGTTTGGAGGAATATTACAAGCTCACCATTGCAAAAGCCAAGCTCATCGAATATCCTGATGGATAAACTTGCCATAGATAAACTAGAACTGAAGATGAAATCAGAAGCAGTAAAATCAAAAGCAGCAAATGTCCCAGCAGCTTGAGTAGAGCATCCTTGAAAATGAGAGATGATTCCAAAAGAACAAGGTGTGAAATCAACTGGAACTGCAGCTGCTCCACCCTCAGAATAAAGGCTCAATAAATGTATGTACTTCCATTACATGCTTTCCTCCTCTCACAGTATTTTGGAGCAAAAAGAAGCTTAGCTACCAGAGAGCAAAGCAGCTAGTAAATTCCTTTGGCCATGCCTCAGTTTATGTAGTTACATGCAACAGAAGACATGGAAAGCATATTTTGCCACTATATATCACAAAGTTACTGGCTGAAAAAAAATGTAACTTGAATATTAAATTGATCAGGACTTGTATGCTTTAGTGAACACCCAAAAAACAACAAAGGCTTTTAGTTTCAGAAGGTGGGATCAAGTTCAGAACAAAATGGGCTCTGATGTCAGCCCATAGGCATCAGCATTTACTCACTACTCTAGCTTGGGATGATAGTGATAGACTGGAGCAGGGAAGAAATGCTGCACATGAGCAGCCAAGGAACACGGCATCATGTAAGTGACACTCCTGGTAAGCCTCTCTTCAACACAGTACAGCCCCCAAAAAGCTGCCAATCAATGCTGTAAAGTAGAGAACATTATCAAAAAGGGCCTTTGACTGCAATATTTGGAGAAAAGACCAGACCCACTGTCTAAAAGATGCAAGAAGAGAATACCACAGCTTCAATGCATGAAGAAAAAGGAAAAGGTCTGGTCAGATCCTTGTTTGCTTACATACCAAAATAATCCCAAGCTGGACTGGGTTCAATTTTCTGGTCCACAATGATGTATCAGTGAGCCAAGGCAGTATAGGATACCTGCTCACTTTCAACTGCCCTGCAACAAAAATGTCTGCTGTCAGTTCATTTAAAAATATGTTAATGGTTGTGCAAAGCAGAGAGTTGAGCAATTAGAAGAGTACTCGCATAGTTATTAAATCTTACTTCCTCAGCACCAGGTGAATCACCAAATAAACAAGAAGATTTATGTAGAGTAAAAACTTAAAAAACAAATTCTGCTGGAACATCCCCAGCTAGGTTATCTGTATTACTAATGGCAGGAGTCTGGTCCAAAGACAGGCTCTGTAACTGTACACAGAGTTCATGGAACACATCTGATCATTAGCAATAAAGATGAGTTTAAAATACATACAGACAGTCCAATATATAATAAAAGACACCCAAAGACACCACGTGAGAGATGCAAGAGAAGATCCAAAAGTGTTCAAGATCGTAATTGAGTCATTGTTTCCAATGATGAAGTGATTCTGAAGAGTCCCATAAACGAGCCATTGAATTACAGAGCAAAGAATTAGAAGAAACATTCAGAGATCATTGAGAAACTATACAGCAGAAGTTATGAATATGGTCTGCAAGTTCCTCCTTCCAAAGCAACCAAAGAATACCACTGAGAACCAGCCCACAAAAAGATGATTTTTTTTGTACTCTGTACAGCAAATTGTGAATTAAAATATCTGCTACAGAGGTATACTCTTCAGTTCAGCAATGATACATTCTTGTCCTAAGTGTCAGAGAACTAGCATACGGAACAGGACAAGATTCACTGAAAATAATGATGTCTATGAGCCCGGCAGTTTCAAAAAGCACCATCCTGATTTTCTATCACTTCTTGTGGTATCAGTAACTAACTTTATGTTGGCATCAGAACTCTCAATAACAATGGCTATCTGCATCTGTGCTACTTTAACTTCTTGCAGAAACAAACCTGCATATATTTTTGACTTTACTTCAAATCTTTTCAGTGCTCATCCACCTGCTTCTGAGCAACAGGTACATATATCCACACAGCCAACATTCTTATATATTTCCATATGTCTCTGTCATGTATCCAGGACAGCAAGGTCCTTTTGCAGTACTGAGGGCAGCCTGCCACAGCTGCATTAGTGTATCAGTGTATCTGTAACCTTTCCTTCCATACACTTCAGCAGGCATTAATTCCCAACACCTAATGCCAGCTCCAAATACAAAAGCTAATATTTCCACAAGTATCACAGCTCAACACTTTATTTTGTCATTCTCTGAGTTTCACTGAAAGCTGAACTACTAGGGGACCTCTTCTTACTAACCACTTTATGGAAACTAAGAAAGAAAATACTTAATAAATATTAAATAATCTATTTGGGAAATCTTGAAAACTCATTGAAAGCTGATTTATGCTTAGAGAGTGAAGAACTTATCACTTTGTTGGAAGAGATCTCACCGTGCATGAGACCATCTAAACTCCTGTTAGAATCCTACCACAGGCTAGATGGGTTATCAGGTTAAACCATTTTGTTTTATCTTTTAAAATATTTCTTTGCAGTCCAACTGACATTTTTCATTCTGTATTCTGAAAATGGTAAGAACACAAATGTTTGATTTAACTGACACACCTCTAAACCTTGAATTAAGACATAAACTACACTATAAAGCCTCAGAAGCTGTTCCAGGATGATCAGGGAGAGCTTGGCATGTCTGATTGTTCTAAGGTTTTAAAAACCCCAAACTAACACAGTCTGAAACACAATCTCCACAATACTGCAGGTTCTTCTTCAAATCCTTTAAAAACCCTGATTAATACATACTAATTCCCCTTTGAAAGTCAGAATAAAAAAGCTAATACAAAGCCATATGCCTTTGTCATATGAAGAACATATATTTTTAAATAATTCCTAAGTATTTTTAAATATTAAAACTGAATTTGTCCTACTTCAGTAAAGAAGTATGAAAAATTCCTTTTTGTATTCATATTCATATTACATAAAGAACATAAACCACTAATTTGATAAAGCTAGTATTAAGTAGAAGTAACAATCTCATTGTATACAGACAGGCTAGAATTGAGAAGTTCCAACATTGCAACAATTATTTATCTTTCTTCAAACTGATTTTATTTTAGCTGCAATAGGTACTTGCTTTATCTCTTCATTCTTGTAGTTCTGGACATGGCAAGATGAAAAAGCACTAGGTACAGTAAAGGTCTGTGTTCATTCACACATTTCAAATTCAATGGAATTCAAAAGAAACCCAAGTTCAAAGTGTAAATTTTGGCCATCTATCACTAAAGTAATAGAGAAAAAAAAACATTAAGCAATAAAAGAAAACTTACTGAGACACTTGTGCAGCAGTTGCATTACCTGTGGAAACTGAAAACAAAAACAAAGGATTGAATTAAGAATATTTTAAAATGTGGAAATACAGAAGTACTCACTGTTAAATGCACATACAGAAATAATGCAACTCACAACAGGACTGTGATAACACAAGAGACATCCCCATGGAAGTATTTACACGCTGTATAAAAGGACACCACCTGTACTCACCTTCCTCTACAATAACTTGACAAGTATGAGTCTGGTTCTCACTCAGGTGTGTGGCCATGTCATCCAAGCCAGAAACATCAGCCAGGAAATCACAGTTGAGACACACTACAGTCACACCTCTAGGAAATAAAAATCAAAAAGGAAGCACAATTACAAAATGGTCATAAAAACACTTTTCTTAACTTACAGCAACTGGACAGACTATAAAAAAAATCAACTTCAGATGAGATGATTCACAAAAACATAATCTTACTTTTTCTACTGCAACTAGTATCAGGAAATTCCCATCAATGAGCAGGGCATCTCCATGCTGGATATAGTACAAAGAACATGACTTTAGACAGAAATTTATCTGTAGAGCACGAGTTTCTCTGATTGGATGGTTGTTTTTTTCTTTCCCTGACCCCCTCCCCATTTTGCATCTCATGAATCATCAAAAAATAATAATAATTAAAAAATTAAAACTGCTCAGAATTAAGTTCATAAATGTGGACAAATAAGTATTTGTCACTGACCAGATCACTGCTATTGGAAAACCTAATGGTTTCATTTCTCCGCTCTAAATTGTGGAAATTCAAGAGGTTACAATCTGAACCTAAGCTAGCAGTTCAACATCAGCAAGCAAAACCATACTGATCTGTAAGTGAAAAAAGCTGAATTACCGTAGCTGCTCTGAATGCTTCTTAAAGATCCAAAACCTTTTACTGGGGCGAGCACTGTGAAAGCTGAATATATGAAAACATTACCACTCAGACTGGTTTCAGTGAATACACGACTCTGCACAACCCCTTCACTAGCCATGGCACTGCAATTTGCTTAGGACAAAACATGAAAATAGACGCCTAAGGTACTGAACTGCATTATTCTGAAACATTAAATGTTTAAAGCTTACAAACCTGTGAATCTCAGCTCTAGTTTAACACATTGGCTCCCTTGGAAAGGAGCTTGGGAGGTGAAAAGCTAAACTCTACTGGCACCATCAACAATTCAGTTTTTGAAGAACCATAGCTATAAAATGCATCACAAAAGAACTAAAACTTGGCTGAACTTGTGCTTCCTGAAGAGATGGCTTTCAATGAGATATGAAATTTTCAGATAACAATAGATTACACACATAAAAGCATGCAAACTATTTCAGCCTAGGACTTTTATGAGCGTTAAAATTGGTATGAATAGGTAAATATAAAGTGTATCTAAAAGCTTGGATCACAGATTCAAGAATCCTAGAGTTTACAAATGCCAAGGCATTTCCTATGTATATGAATTTTAAAAAAAATCACATTCACTATTTTCCACAATACAGTTGGCTTTTCAGGGCACAGGAAAAACAAGTAGGTTTTTAAAATTTTGTTTTACTGCCACAGCTATGTGATCTATATCTAATTATTGTATAGTATAATTCCATGGCCCTGAAAATGATGCATTTGTGTTCTTAACAGGCTTTTTTACAGCTGTCATCACTAATGCCCAATGCTGCCCCACCACTGCTGACAAAATGAGATGTTATTTCTATGGATGACCAGAAGTGGGGTAAGGAAAAGTATCCAGTTGAGTTTGCTAATTGAGACATCCTTCAAATCTGAGCACAGACTTCACTAGGATAGCTGTGGCCTGTATGCATTCAGCACTTGTAAAATCAAATGAGCCATTCAATCTGAAACCCAGAAAACGTGCCATAATTAATCATTATTTGCCAAAGTCAGGCTGAAGTGATTATGGAAGGTACCATAAAAACTCTGAAGCAAAGGTATAATACTGCCTGAACTGTTGGATTTTTAAAGCAAAACAAGAATGTGGAGTTTAAGCCTTCGCTAAAAATTAAAAAACCCAATCTTACACATTTTCCTGCCCATCTGAGGACCCAGTTCAAAATTCACCTAACAAACACTTCCCACCTTACATGAACTTAGGAAGCATTTCCTAAGCCACTAAAAACTTTGAAGAGTTCTTACCTCATCATGTGATTGACATAGGCTTTGCTACAGCTGGTGTTGTATCTGCATAAACTACAGTGGACATATGCAGGAAAGTGGCTTGCAAAATCTTTTATTTCTGAGAAACACTCAATGCATTTGTGAGTTCCCACAAGATACCTGACAGTAACATGAAAAAGTTATCAATTAATAGCAACACTCAGAAGAGACAACTATTTCAAACCTTTTGCTTTAAGTAAGTAGCAAGCTTGCCTATACTAAGGAAAAACGAGGAACTTAAAAATGCATCAGCAGAGGAAGAAAACTTTGCTTTTACTTGAACTATAATTTAAATATTATCCTAATAAAAATGTGAAAGGTAATGTACACATCCATTATTGGCCACTCCTGGAAACAAGAGATAATGCAGTGGATGAGAATCCCCAAATTCAGCTGCTGCTGTTGTCTCCATGTACTTGAGAAGTATTTCCAACAATTATTTCCATCCATCACAATGCACAGAAAAAGCCTTTGGCTTTTCTATCACCCCAATATTACCCATAAGGTTTGAAACATCTACAAAGCAAGAATATAATCATGCTCTTCCCCACTTTTGCTGACTTTTTGGATCTCTCCCAGAGGTACACACTGAGAAAGTTAGAAAGAGGAGGGGTGGCATCTCCCATCTCTGACAAAAAAAATGCCAACTCATAACTAATGAACTTACACTCCAGTGTAATAAACAGTCCATAAAACACCCATGAAAATTGTAACATAAGGACAGCAAACACCAATAAATTGTCAACACAAGCACTTGCTTTTACTTCCTTTATTTTTTTTTTAATTAGCTCCCCAAAATACTCTATCTCCTAGGATAGACAGGATTTTATCTTTTAACTAACAGGTTCAAATAAATAAAATAAAAGAAAAAAACAAAAGAGAAAAAGAAAGGCTCCATGCAGAGAAAATTTCTAAATGTGACACAGAGAAGTTTCCAGAACACTTGTTCTTCCATCATAAAGTAGTCTGCCATCACCAAAATCAGTGAAGATTCAGAATTACAACCACAGTACCAGCATGTAGAAAGTTTATGCATCTGCTTTCTCAGCAAACCTGAGGTGCCAGATCTTCTATATTACAGCATTAAAGTTGCTGAAAGACCATTAAATGATCATTTATTTATGTTCAAAGTGTACTTTAAGACAATTTCAATGCCAGTATTTTACCTCAGATTATGAAATGCTATATTTGAAGGCTCTTTTTTTCTTCTGCTGTTTGTCCATGCATTTTGTTTCCTCGGTGTAGATTGTTTTGATTTTCCTCTTGATTTACTTGTATTAGATTTGTTATGATTTTTAGTGGTTGCATTTTTATTTTTAGGTGATAACTGAAATGTGGAACTGCTTGTACTAACAGAAGATGTAGCCGATGCTCCTGACTGATGAGATCCCAAAGATGCTCGAATAGTCACCTACAGGGATGAAATTTTAAAATAACTGTTTAGATGTAAGCTCTCTACATTCCTACTTCTATTTGTTTCAAAGTTCAAGCCACTTTATAGCACAAATCATAGCATAAGAAACTCTCCTGATGAAAGATTGCTTTGAAAACCACAAAACACTGAAAATTCTGTTGGAGTTAACCTCTAACAGCCAATTGGATGCTTAAAAAGTTTGTTTTGGTTGAAATGGTTAGTCATGATAAAACATGTTTTCCTTCCAGAGCTGCAACTGGCTAGATCCTGCTTTCTTAAATGAGAAAAATGAAGCAGAAGTGTCAGGCCAATCAGCCCTACTAAGAACATCAAACCATTCCATCAGCGTCTGGATTTAACAGAAAGTCCTGTGTCTTACTGCCACACGATGAGCCAGCCTACTCCCTCCAGGTATGTTTGTTTCTCATCCTAGAATTCCAAGGAGTAATTCTGGTTTCAGATCTAGCTGCTGTTCTTGAACTTTGTCATGCTCTCAAATGTGGTTTTGACTCATAGAAAGACTTCTAATTCTACTTCTTAGCCATACTCCTAGTATGGAAACACCTTGTCTTCTAAATCTGGTTCCAGGTTTTTCAGTATTATCATTTCATCCTGTCAAGGTCTACTAACAAATTTTAACATAATACAAGCTTTTGTTCGGTCATGAAGACCATGAAATCTTAAAAAAAATTGAGGTATCATCACAGAGTAAAGAATTGGTGCCAAGCAAGACAATAAACAGCAGCTGAAGTAATTTCTCCTTTCCTGATTCTACAGCAAATGAACTGTGAAGAGCTGATCAAAATGTTAACTTCTCTTCTTCCTTGCCACTGAAAGGACATGTATTTTGATACTCTACTGAAAAAATGGTTGGAAAAAGTCCCAAAATCGACAAGAAAATCTCAATCTAAGTAGCTCCTTCTTGAGAAATGGAAGACTGACTTAAAGACAGCATAAGTGTTCTGAGGGGACCCAAGTGTTTCCTCACATACCTTCAAATGCTGAACCCAGAGAAGACCTGGTGAACCCAGTTTTGAGCATAGATATTCTAAGCAGAAGAAGGAGAAAACCATTTCTTTCTATTCTACTCTTTTCTCTACCAAGACCTTTTTTTTTTTCCCTTTGTCCCCTCAAGCTTTCCTGCAGGAACACTCACCTTTGTTCCAGGAGGCAAGCCTTCTAATTGCTTGGGTTTCCTGAATGTTCGGTGATGCTGAGTCTTGTGATCCATTTTTTCTTTGCATGTTAAAAATTGCAGTCTGCATTTAGTGCAACGGTATATTCCCTTTTTCTTTTAAAGACAAATGACAATCCACAGTAAGCATGGATGGCATGACAAAACTCTAACCCTAGCTTGTCTCAAGCAATGCTCATGCAGTTCCTAAACCATCAACTAAACAAACTCCTAATACTACACAAAGACAAGATACCCTGTAGGAATTAGATACGTGAAAATGCAAGGCAGTACAGTTACTAAAACAAGGAGGAATCAGATTCCCAGTTACAAGACACATCATTATCTTTCTTTATTTGAACTAGTGGCAGGTTTGCTAGTAACCTCAAAAAAAGCAGAATCAAATCACTAAAATGTAATGAAGAAACCAAACAGCAAAAAGATATTCAGAGATTACTTTAAACAGGAAGCTGCTATCACACAAAACAAGACAACTCCCTTAAAAATTTCTGAAATTCTTCTAATGTATTCTTATTAACTACTCTTACCTAGTAATAAGCTTACAAATCAGTCCCATTTGTTTCTTCAGAGGGAGATTCCCTACATGTGTTTAGCATTTTTCTAGCACTAAGGATTGAAAAGATCTGCTTACCTGATGCCTCATGTAATGATGCATATACGGTGCTCCAATTTTAATAACTTTGAGGCAAAATGGGCATAGCAAATGTTTTGTGTTTTCATGAACTGTTCTAAAATGTGCTTCTACATCTGAAAAAGCTGAGGATCTGTAGCTGCACACCTAAAATAAGAAGGTTGACTTTTTAGTTACAAGTTTACTGACAGTGAAGACAGGGGAGTGGTGTAATCTAAATACAAAAGTCACTCTGAGATACCTGGCAAACATACGGCATTTCACCGGGCTTATGATTGTCCTTCATATGTTGCAAAAGAACTTGCTCTGTGTCAAATGATAATTCACAGATTTTACAAATAGCTAGAAAAAGTAAAAAACAAGAGAAAGATTAAAAATTTGACAGAAGTCATATGTACATAAATTATAATGCATATATGTAAATATATACACACATATATGAAATGTATATATCATTAAAGGTAAAGAAATCGAATGACTATTCTACTCTTTAGAAGAAATTCCCTGTACCGTTTCAGAAAGTCAGGAAGGCAAGGGCCTTAAACATGAGGTCTTAAAGTAAAGCTTTCAATTAAAAATATATAAATAAAAAAACCAAAAAATGCAAGGAAAAAAACCAAAGGCTTTTTAAAATACTTTTTTGCATATGTATATATATATTGCTCTCAAAAGAAAAATAAGTGCTGTGTTTCTGGTTTTTTTTTTCATATTAAATCTCAAGATTATTGTACTTGGATAACAATGGATTTATTCTGAAATTCCAATCCAGGCAATCCAAGTTAGGAGTTGAACTCACTGGATGACTCGTACGGCGTGTGCGTGCTCTCGATGTGGCACTGCAGCTGGAACGGCGTGGGGAACTGCCGGTAACAGTGCTGGCACGTCGTGTGGCTTTCCCAGCTTTCATTGCTTTGCTTCTCAAGCTCCAAGTGATGTTTCATGTGGTTCATAAACCTTTAAATTATAGTGAACAGGTGCAAAAAACCACATTTGAACATTCCCTATACATATCATATGCAAGATGTACAGGATTCTTTAGAAATTTTACTATGTAAGGACTTCTCAATTAAGAAAATATATTAAATAATAAGTGTTTGCTAAAAACACAGGCAACAAACTTAAAGCTGATAGAAATCTTAACTTTAAGGAACATTAAATCTAAAACATGTTCTAAGACTAAATCTATTACATTTCTCATGTTTGCTTAGACAAAATTCTTGCCTTGAAATCCAGGGAAATAAGTAAAAACAAGAACACATCAACTGTTCTCACTTTATTCACCACCAGCAATCTCAAAGCCCCATTCTGAAGCACATGTAACTTTCACTGTGCTGAAAACTATTAAGTAGCAAGAATGTATCTGCAATTTGGACATGACAGCTTTATGTGGCAGGAGTTGCAGGAACGTTCCTTGTCTAAAGCATTCACGCCTGACCTTGAGTTATGAAGGACAGTTATCAAAAGTGCCACTGTGCAGCCAACATTAAAAGAGTGGGAGAAACTGGTATGGTACTATTTAAGTTACCAGCTTTTCCTCATTAATCTGACCATCTGTCTGAAGCCTACTTTTCTGGCTTCAGAACCTTTTCTGGCTGAGAAGTCCAGGCACCCATGACAGCATCACTGTTACTGGTGGAGCAGCACAAGGACAGGTTACCTCAAACCCACTACAGCTCAACTTCCAAAACTCCTGTTTGGAATGCACTTTATTTCAGTACAGCCAGAAGAATTATTAAACATAAGTCACATTACAGAAGGAATGCAGGCCTTGGAATTGGAAAAAACAAATGAGCAAGGAGCAGTCTCTTGAGCTCAAGCTCATACCATCACACAGTTGCTTAAAAAACAGCAACAAGAAAACCAGAAAAGGCAGAGACTCTCCAGTTTTCTAAGCAGACAAAAGAAACAGACACTATTACTGCATAATGCCTTAACAGAAAATTATTGCAATGGTGTGTCCAACCACAAATCTTTTAAAGAAAGCAGGGGATTACCATAATGAATCACTTTCAGCTTTTCTGAACTTAAGTCAAAAAGTGATACTTTAATTAGGATGGTAAGACATATTTATTTTGTCCACTATACACAGAGGTGCAAAATAGACCCTGGAATAAAAATTTTAAGTTATAGAACTATTGAATAAAGCCACAAGGTTACAGACAAAATTAATATGGTTAAAGTCAATGTTACAGAAATTGAAAAAAAAAAAGCTCGTACATTTTTAATGACTTGCTGTGGAACACATAGGGGCACCACAGCACCAACTGCTTACAATATAATGCTGAGTATAAATAGTGCCTATTTAATGATTAATAGCAAATGTCATTGTTTTAATTACAGAAAACTTGTTTTTTTTCAATAATATGTGTCTAATGTTAGCATAAACCTGCTCACTTTAACTTGCAGACTGTGCCCTTTGAAACAATAGTCCATTTTTCAATTTTACATTCTGCTACTTCAGCTTCCCTTGAAGAGAGCATGTAAAAAAGTTCAGTGACCTTAACTTCCAAAGGAACGATGACACAAACTTGTCTACCTACTAAAACAGCTTACTGGGGTTTTATCAGCATTTGGAAGTAAAATTACTCCAACAAAATAACAGATGTTACATAAGTGAACTACTGGCTATTAGTCATTGTGCATCCCTAAAGGGAATTAACACTCACATCTACCAATTCTGCCATCAACCCAGATGGCAAACTGTAAAATCCTTTGTGTTGCCCTTTCTAACCCCAAAGTCCTACAACTGCTCTTATCAAAACTCTATGTTAAACACCACTAAAATTCATACTCTAATCTGTAAAAAGTTCTAAGTTATGGTCATACATGCAAGGTAAAAATTAATTCAATTTGTTTAGTCACCCAGTATTATCAGTTTTCAATATGAAAGGAACTCTAATCCAGAAACACAAAACTTTTATACATAAGACTACTATGGACTGTGATTAACAAATAACTAAGGAAACAAATAATTAAAAATACCTTATGTTATTTTTAAGAACTTTGAGACAACTGATGCATTTAAATGTCGTATGAGTCTTCTGCTCCTGTTGTACCTGCTGGAGGTCACCTTCATCCTTCCCATAATAAAAGTCATTAACTAACATAATCAGCTTTCCTTTCTCAGATTCCATGGTCCTGTTTGTGCTCACACATTCTGTTTTGACCACTTCTGAGAAAAAGTTATTTACCATATCTGGACAGCAATACTGGGTGCAAACAGGGAGAGGAGACACAGAAACAAAGGTATCAGTCTCACAAACTGCATCAATAAACAGCATTTTAAAAACTGAAGGCACTAATGAGAGATGCAAAGCTTAATTCTCTCTCACACTGAGCTTAGTAATATTCAATTTTGAACAGTGTTTAACTAGTGCTTAAGTAATAAAACACTATATATTATAAAACTGAAGAAAATTCTCAAAGGTTCATGTAAGATAGAATTTTTTGCAAGAAAAAGGCAAAACTAGTATTGTTTTCTTGATTGAATTTATTTCATTTACATTTAATAAAATGAAAGAAAAAAGCAGCTTTCGTGCAAGTATTTTGCTGACAAGCATAAGTTTATTGAGAATTTAATGGGAAGTTTTGTCCTTTATTTCTTAGGGTGAATGTATGTTGAAACCTTCAAAAGTTCTTTCCAGCATTGCTAAAAAATTCAGCATTCTGACTCACATAATAGACATTGTTCAAGCTTCTTTATGTTGAAGTATACTTTAAGAATGCTTAGCCCAGAAGCCATTTCATGAAACTTATCATTTAAAAAGTACAGCACACTTCACAAAGAAGATGCTACCAAGTTTCCAACAAAATTAGGATGTTTCAGAGGACAAATTTTTCTCCTGCTAAATAACGGTTCTTACCATGCAGGACTACTTTCCATAAGCCTACAAGTAAGGAGCAGTGCAACTGTAACTCAGTATCCTAAGTAAACACACTTCTTCAATGGTTCCTTCATTCAGCTGATGTACTCAGTGCAAAAGCTATTCTGTACAAATAATGATTAGAAAAAGTTAAAACCCTTGGGGTTTTATCCACTGCTATCTGTATTTCTTAATTATGTTTCAGAACCGAAGGAGACAGCAATTACAGGGTATTGTAATCCTGTAAATCAGAACCATCTGTGAGAACAGTAACTCAGATCCTCACAAATTTGTCTTATACAGTAGCTGATATTCCTTTTTGTTTTGGATATTCATGCTGTATACAGACTGCAAAGCCATTTCTTTGTCCCTAAAATGAAATACATGTGCCTGAGAATTGTGAGGATCTTTGCAAAATGATAAATATTTTCCAGGAAACGATGTTTCCAGAAATAGTAGTAAGTAGTTTCACAATCAAATTAAGTGATGCTTAGTTTCTGACAGTTTTGTTTACTACAGTGTTTGAGTATGAACTACAAATGAAATTCTTCCCCACAGCTTAAAAACTTTTATCTATTATCAAGTATTTTTATCTTGCTGTACCAAGTGATACATCAAGATTAAACAGTAAGTTTGCATTGTCATCTTTTTGTCAGCTGCAATCTCATACAGATGTGGGTTCACCTGGCTGCCTATTCTCATAGGCACCTTTAGAACATTGGAAACATGAGGCAAAAAGTAGCAAGATTTGGAAAAGTGGCAAGCTCCTGTCTTGCTCTCCATGACTGCAAGACTTGGAGCATTTGGCTCTGGTTGATAGCAGGCAGAAGCCAAACTAGCTTCCTATCAAACCATGGCAGTCTTCCCTAACCAAAGAGAAGCCCACAAAGTTTGTTCTAATGCTTACCAGCCCCACAAGATTTTACCTTCATGTGATTTTTTAGAGGATCCATAAGATTGAAATGTATATTACACTTTGGACAAGCCCGTGGAAAAGGTCCTCCATTTTTAATGGTGCTGGATGCAGCATTTGTCCCTGTAAAATTTAAAACATATAAAGACTCAGAATTCACAAGCAGAATACTCAATTCAGCAGTAGTGGCAGTATTCTAGTAAAATATGCTATTTCAAATGAAAACTACTGCCATCAATGAAGATGTAGTAACCATAAGAAAGGCTTTAAAAGCATCTTTTATTCTTCCTTTTTCCCAAACTGACTTGGAGTTTGCTCTGTTTGACATAGACTGATAAATGGATTTTGCAAAATCTTATCAACAAACAAGGAAAAAAACACATGAAGAGATGAATGCAGCACAACAGGGAGAAAGCATTTCATACCAGCCCACCCCATCCTGGATAGGATGGATTTTGGATGAGTTTTTTTCACAAACTTTTCAAATGAACACGTAAAGCCTGTTTGCTGCCACAACCTGATCATCATCTCAGCAGGGTTCAGATAAAACCCTATTGGTTTGGAAAGGAATTTCACATTTGGTTCTCAATGATGAGGCTACTTCTCTCTGGAGATTTGTTGGAATCTTGGCTTATTCAAATGCATTATTTCTGTTAAGCAAAGGTGTCTTTGGAGAATCTAGAGAATAAATCCTCTAAATTAATAATTACTCCCAGTAATTAAAGGAAATAATGCTTCTCTAATCAACATAAGTGATTAATACCTTTTGAGCAAAAGAGATATTAAAGCTTTGCATTAGTTTAAGCTTTAATGAATAAACTAAGCTTTGAGTTTTCTCCAAACTGTCAAAAAACATCAGAGCAAGAGCTACTTTTCCAGATGAAATTCTCTTGCATTCTCAAGTAATTCACAGATTTGAAGGAGTCCACACTAAATAAGTAGTTTGGAAGCTAAACACAGGAAACAACATCTTAACAGCAGAGTCAACTGTTCCCTGCCAGGACTATGAAAAGATGTAATAAAAACAAAAAAAAAAAAATACAAGGGAAGGTGTATGAATTAAGAAATGAACATGCAATAGTGTTTTACATTTTTACATCACAATAGTCCTGCCTAGACCATAAATAAACAGTAATTTTCCTTAAGATAACAGTTTTGCTAAGAACCATTGCTAAGCAGAAAGTCCTTCACATGAGTGGATGGCCATGTAAAAGATGTACCACAAACAGTGCTGCAAGTCTTCACTCTTACAGTTGGTAAAACATTTTGACACATCACAGCTAAGTGCAAACTGAGCTGAAAAAAGCCAGTTCTGCAGCACAACCTTGTGCTCTGCAGAGCTTCAGTGCTGGATTCTGTGACAGATTAGAAACTGCTATGCCAGCATGGGATGGCTTAGAGACAAACTCAGCAAAATAAGGTTCTCAGTGAATATGATCTACTTCTTTTTTTACTGAATTTAGCAAGATCCTTCAGTTATCTTTTTTTATTATAGGCTGCAGCACAATATCTATTTCACCTGAAAGAGGGTGGAGGAAATTTTTTTGCGGAAATGTTCCTGTTATAGCCACGTCCTTCTGGTAGCTGGGAAGAGCAAACAAGCTCTAAATAATAAATGCAAAAACCACAAATCTGAAATTATCCCAAACCATCATTTTAACACTATAGGACAGAGGATGTCTTGGAAATGTCTCAAAAGTCAAGAATAAATCCTGGCCTACTGCAATCACTGGAAAGCACCTTTTGGCTCAGGACAAAAATGCACCTAATAGTTAATACTGTGAAATAGCCAGACCAGCTCTCTTCTTGCAGGGAAGGAAAAATCTTTCCAATAACATTGTTCCTTTGAAATAGACCTTCTCCCCTCCCACTACTACTTCAACCTATATCAGAAACACTGCTGGAAAAAAAATAAAGGGGAAAAACTGCAAAACACACTTTTCGACAATTAGTCAAAGTACAGAATCACAAAATAATTTAGGGTGGACTTTTGGAGGTGGATTTCTGCAACTTCCCAGTCAAAGCAAGTGTAATCTTTTGCTCAGAGGATAAGAGTTCAGTCAACTTCTGATTATCTCCAAGGATAGGGATTCCAAAATCTAATTTGTTCCTGCCTTGCTTGGCATTGCTAAAATGATTTTTTCCTTCATCTAATCAGAATTAGTTCATAAATTCAGCAGTCAAAGAATTAAGTCAAGAATTCTGTCAATCCTGATTTTCTGGTTGGTTGTGTTTTAAGTTTCAACCCCCTACTCCCTTCTTTGACACAGAAAATCAACGAAGAGAATGAGGTCAGGGGCATTTATTTTTATCAGCTGTCTCTGAATGACTAATTACTGCTCTACAGAACTCAAACCTACCTACTAAACAATAAAGGTCTAAAATTTGAATAGGTAATAACCTCAGGTAAATTAATTTGTAAAGGTATATAAACCCTTGCATAGAATAGTTATTTTTATTTTACAGCATAAAAACAGTTACTTACACTGCCTTAAGAGCATTAAAAGCACTGACCAACTGAAACACTACAGATGTGTTAGCTTTTTCCATGACACAGAGACAGAACTGCCAGCTAGATCATTCCAACTTCCTACTGTTTGAAGATGCATTTTGTGCCTGTACAACTGGCTTCAAACTGTTCTTACGCTGTAAAGAAAAAACTGTTGGACAGTTACTGTAGGTGAAATAGCCAAGTTGCTTCTAGCACCGACCTCAATAAGCTTGGCCTGTTTTGGAGTTACACTGTCACCTTCAGAAGCTGCAGGAGGTTTGGATACAAAACCACTCTCATTTAGACTTAGAGTACTTTAAAGAACCTCAGTTTTTTTCCCATAGTAATTAGAACACATTAGTGATGACTGCAATTTAGAGCCCACACAAAAAATATTTTCCTAAACTAATGTGCCATACTGAAGTTAAGAAAATGTCCAACTCAGACTGCAGGCCCAGGCCAGTGAGGCAGGAAAGGGTAAATGCAAGAGATCCAGACCCACCTCCGACCCCAGTAAACCATACTGTGGCCACCTGAATTCATTTGGCCTACTTTTCACATCTTGACCCACTCTAATGTGAGACAAGGTGAGTTCACAGTAATGCAGCCAAGCTAAGCAGCTGCTTTCCTCAATGCCTGCTACCTGGAACAAGCTCTGTGCTTCTGATGGAAAACACTTCTTTCTTTCTGCTTCTGTGTTAACGCTGGTTTAGTTTCCCATAGAACTCTGTAAACCTAAGTTTGCATGCAAAATGGAGATGGTGTTGGAACTTCTAATGACCAACCACAGCACATCTATCTGCTCTCTTCTTCTGAAAGAACATTACACATGTCCTTACGGTTTGCAGTATTTCTTCTGAAGAAAATAAGTAAAAACGAACAAACAAAAAAAACCCCAAAAAAATAACAAAACAGAAAAACCCACAACAAAACAAAAAAACAAAAAAAAAACCAAACAAAAAAACACAAAGAAAAAATAAAACAAAAACCACCACTAACAACAAAATCTAACAAATCCCCAAAAAACTAAACCTAAAAGCCCCACCAAAAACAACTCCAAAACACCCCACAACAAAAAAAAAATCCACCAACAACTTTGAAATTGGGAGGTTCAGTGGCTGATTAACATGCCCATAAACACTCAGCTCCATCTGGTCAGAACCCCATGTTTCTGTCACTGTAAGATGACCCTGGATGATATGATCTCAATCCAGAGATCAGCCCTCAAGCAGACCTCAAAGCCACAGCTACAAACCAGGGAGTCTGAAGTGCCAGCACAGGTCTTGGAAACCTCTCACAATGACAGACTGCAAAGAATCTTAGGACTATAATAAAATATGTCAAAGGCTTCAGTTCTGGACCCAATGATCTAAACTAAGGACATTCTGGGGTATCCCCTCCCTACAATGACAGAGCTGCTCCAATGATTTCTCAGGGTGCAACAAGAAGCTCAACAAGTAGAGATAGATACTTTGGTGTTACAATTACATCTGAGAAGAAACAAAATAGCTCTCTGGCACCCATAGTTCTGTTTACTCAGTGGGAACTATCTAAACTTGGCCAACAGCGTGGAGAATCTCCCCATTCAATGCACATAGGCAGACACCCAGCAGGGAATGCTGATGAACATCTTGGAGCATTTGCCACACTGTGCCTCAAACATGGGAAAACATAATTCACTCGATATACAGACACCTAAATATCCTAACATTCTCCTTTGTAGTACACCTTTCCTTCTCTTTTGTATAAATAAACATATTAAGCTCAAATGTCTCGCTCTGTGCATTGTTTGCCTAAGGTTCATCCATTCACAAAATGATCAGGTCATTAATTAGATGCTACTCCTCCCTGGCGGGTTTAATTTACTTACACTCACCGTTTGGTACATGAGCTGCTCACATGGACACAAGCCCTGCTGAGCAAAGGCTTCCACAGAGCTGGTATGGCCTCAGCACTCATCTGTATCACCTGGAGCATCCCACCATCAACCACAGCAGCAACTGCTGCTGCTGGAATTCAACTCTGTGTAACTCTGCAATGAGGGCCAGGGAAATGACACAAGGTCTGACTGACTTTACAAGGATCTCCAGTGAAGTATTTTATTTTACTGCAGAAAACCCTATTTGGAAACAAGGACTATTTTAATGTTAAAAATACTGTTCAAAATTCCAATTTTAAAAGCTTTACACATCTGTGATAAAAATTTTGAAGACTCTTCTACATACTTATAAAAGGTGAGTAGTCATGTCTATACAACTCTGACTAGTAAATTCTCTTTCAGAAGAACTATAATAATACACAGGTTTGCATTTTAGTTCTTTTGTTTGTTCATGTAAAAAAAACAGGCCTATTTTGAAAACTAATCACAGCACCTCCAAGTATTTTTTAATATCTTGTTGGTATAAATCAGGTTGACACCTCTTATCATGAAAGTGCCTCTCTCAGCTGGAGTGTGGACACCAGAATTCCTTGAATTAACCACATTCCAGGCAAGCTTGTCTGATTCTCTACACAGCAGGTCACAAGGACTCCAAGAACTCAGGACACCAGGGAAAAGCAGTAGCCAAACAATTATTTTTTTGGTCACTTTGTGCTATTAATGAACACTTCAGAAGCCATTACCCAGGAGCTGGCTGTGCTCATACACACAATATTCCTGTGTACCACATCCATGATGGCAAAGAAGGAGCAAAGCACACTGGCTGCAGCACCACCTTGCTGGCAGGTTTCTGGACCCACCACACCACTGAAAACACCTCAGTGCTGCTCTGTGTGTCTGTGCTGGCTGGGCCTGATTTTATAAATGATGGAAAAGACATGCTAGAATAAAAGCACCAAATGTACTGTGATGCCAGAATAGGCACATGAAAGGCAAATTGCTTCAGGCCTCCCAGTGCAGTGTCCTGCACCAACACCTCCCTTAATCTGGAGCTGTGGATTCACGGATGCACTCCAGTCAACTCCACATGACAGATCTTTGGGTCACAGCAGCTTCTTGTTCCTCCAAGTGGGTGGAGTTTTAAAAAAGGGTTTTGTTGTCAAATTACATATTCTCTCCCTTCCCCTCCTTTCCAGGAATCATCCTTTTGATCCCATCTACTCCAACTCTTGCATATAGCAGTCAGAAAACCAAGATCATCATTACAGGGAATCCATCCAGACTCAGTTCTTCAGGTGCTGTTCACAGCCCCTCCTTTGCTAACAGTCTTTTCCTATTCCCATGGGCCAAAGAGTGATGAGTGTACTGAAAACAAACCTTTACCTGTCAATGAAGACAACAGTGGATCTGACAATGCTTTTTCCCATCTAAATGAGCACTATAGGAAGACATCAGTTGATTATAGTCAGTCTAACGCACTGAAAAGCAAAGTCTGACAACACAAGACTCCAAAGTTTATTTCATTAAACATTATATAGTGTTATGCACAGGGGGAAGAAAAAAGTAGTTATACTATATTCTAGAAATGCTATTTAAAGTTATAACCCACAGATCTGCACTAGAGTTTAATGACATTAGGTTGGTTGTTTCTCTTATCAACTACTACAGTTTTACTCACCTGTTACAGTCACAGCTGGCCCAGTCTGGTACTGTGGAACTCCCGAGCTCTGTCTCACACCAAACAGAATACCAGATGTGTTATCTGGTGCATCTGGTGCAGAATCCATAATATAATCCTAATAAGATATTTTCAAGAGGGAAAAGAAGTTTGAGGTTTAATATTTTCTTTTACTTGCAGGCTTCAAAGGGTTAATTTTAAAAACATATGATTGCCTAAAAAAATACTCAGCTGAAAATCAAGTACATTACAATCTCCCCAAATAGGTTTTTTTGACATTTTAATAAGGCTGCAATTCTCATCAGTGCTTGTGAGTCTTTATAGTTGTGTATGCAGAATAGTAAAAACAATTGTAAGACCTGGGAAAGACCATTTAACGAAACACCACTAATCTGTTTGAATTACTAATTGTAAATGCTTGTGTTCCAAAAAGTCTGATGATGTTTCAAATTATACTTGACTGTTTTTCAAAAAACCCAAATACTTTCTTCCTTCAAGTTAAACTCAGGCATTTGCCTGTTACTCCTGCATAACATCTTGCTGCATTTCAAAAGATGAAAAATCAGAACTCAAAAGTAGTACAAACTTGTAGCAAGTAGAAGCTTCCCAAAGCAACAGTAAGGTAGAAATGGAAAAGAATTATTTCAACTCTGAAATAATTCAAATGGTTACACTTCATCAAGCTGTATTGCAAAACAAAAAACTGACTAAAGTAAAGCAATCTTCCTAAAATAAAAAAACCAACAAATTTTAAAAATCATCCAGTACACATACAGAGACCTTGTCATCAGTGAATTTGAGAAACAAAGGTCAAAATACATTTTGCTGGGGAAAAAAAATAAAAATGTTCATAAACTGATTCCCATTCACAATTGTGCTACTTATTTGAAAGCATCCCTGTGCAAGTTACCACATCATTAACTACCACCATGTTAACCAAACTTAATGGAAAGAAATCTAAAGGAGCACAAGTACATAAACAGATATCATAATCTGGTTTAGGACTCCTAAATACCAGACCAAAAAGGGAGATGCTGCTCCCCCCCATCCTGCCTTTTTACTGTACATCTCCTTAAATGAAGACCCTTCAGGACCTTAATAAAGGGCCACTCTTTCTTCTGGTGAGTCACCTAATCCACTCTAACCAAATTAAAGATAGATGTTCAGGAGTAGCTGAGGAAATAGTTACTGAATTTCTGTGCTGTATTTGCTAAGAGTAACAGCTACATGAGCTGCAGTCACAATAGGGAAGGTGTCACTGTAGTCACAACAGTTTCAGAAGAGCCAGTAAAGGACAGCAAAGCACCTCAGCCTGCAGGCCACAGCCCAAGGACAACTGATGCTCAGGGAATAAACCTGTGGCAAACTCTTGAGTGCAGAGCCTGTGCACATCATTCACATTTGAAATGTGACCAGTACAACAGCTACATACAAACACTGCATCTCTTACTGGTCTGTTGTTTCTTTGGTTTTATGTCCAGCCAATATTTTAATTTTCAACAAGATCATAGTCTGGGTATTTTGATGGTATGGACACATCTCCCCAGTAATACTAAACATATCCAGCAAGTAAAAAAAATAAAAAAAGACGAACTTCAACAAACAGCAGAAGCTTTAAGAGACCACAGAATCTGCACTGGATATCCCAGATAAGGATACATTACTTTCTAAAGCATATCAGTCTAACCTGGAATAGACAGAACTGATTAATTTATTCAGAAGTAATCATATGAATAAAGATTTACCTGGTTGAGTATTACAGGCTGTGCTGTTGCAGGAGTCTCTGGCCTGGATACAGGCTGAGCCACTACAGGAACTGTAATACTTCTTGATACCGGCTGTGTCGTCACTGGAATGGTTACAGGTCTGCTAACAGGCTGTGCTATTCCAGAACTTGACCCAGGCACCTGCTGTGTTGACAAACACCCAGCAAGCGGTCTCTGCAGTGTTTGTGAAGTTGCTGAAACATTCACTGCTCCAGCCAATGGCTGAAGTGCCACCGAGCCGGCGGCAGCTCTGGGCGCAGCCTGAAACGCTGCCGGGGCGGGCGCGGCGCCGGGGCTGGAGGCAGGCGGCTCGAACTGCTGACCCTCGGACTTGAACGCAGCGACCGCACCTGTGGCAAAGGATTCCAAAGTGAGCTTGGTGTAACTCTGCAGTCAAATGTTGCATAAGTGTTGTGGATTTTTTTTGTAATTACCATATTAGGACAATAAAGTACCTCTACTGGGTGCACCATTCTGTATCCCCCTTCGTGGTGAGCTGAGGTTGACTCTGTTCAATATATCTGTCAAAAGTTACATTTATCTTAATTGCAAATAAATTAATAGCTTCATTGCTTTTGAAATTTAAAAGCTGCATTTATTTACACTAATTATGCCAATCAGAATTTGGCTTATAAATTAAAATATCATTTCTAAAACAAAACCTGGCAAAACCAAGTGTCATTTGTACAAATTATGATGTGTTCTTCCACTCCTCTTTGGTTAAGCTAGTTCATTTAACAATCTCAATGTTTATTCTCTTGGAGACAGGTTAACACACAGGAAGAATACAAACAACAACAAAAAAAGGACATGGCATTAACATTTCAATTTGCTGATTATAGTGCATTCATCTCCATCTCTTTCTCACATATACCTAATGTTTTCCAAATACAAGGAAGCATTTTCTCTAAACCAGTAATGATATCATTTGCTTCTGTAATAGCAAGTACAGCACTTACAAAGTGAATTTTAGACTTCAGGATATCTGTTTTCCAATGCGAAAGGCAAATCAACAGATGAGCAACTAAAGGAGTTGTATTACAATTGCATTACAAGAGCACTGATTTTCTTACATATCCCACATGGAAGTCTGTGTCCAGAGTTCTAGCTCAGCAAGAGCACATGCAATTCCTTAAATTACATTTACTCCCTAACTAATACCACTCATATTCCCCGACTTTTACATCTCAGTCTGGGATTTCTGACAATTTCAGAAAGTTACAAAAATATTCATCAAATCAAAATATTCTTCTACTCCCAGATTCTCAGTTCCATTAGTGTTGCTGACAAGTTGCTTGTTCTGACCTGTGAAAATATGCATACGAAATTAGATTGATTCTCTAATGTCTAAACCACAAGGCTTGAAACCAGGGTCAAATGACATCAGGTTCACAAACAATAGATCTCAGAGTATCTACATATTGTGTTGAATAACTTTAAGGCTATTTCCACCAACAATGGCTCACTAGTATACACTTCACCAGCTGATAAATATATCTAATAGCAGTAGAGCTCAAAACACCACAGCTTTCAACCTGCTACCTGCATTTAGATCATATTGATAAAAAAGCAGCTGCAACCAACATATTCAAGCAGGCTTGCATTTTAAGATATGACAAAATTTGGTGTTGCAATACCAATACTATTTTTACTTCAACATAACAGTAACTACAAACCAGGATTAAATTATTTTGGTATTTACCTGAATACATACATTTTGCAAATGTTAACAAATCTATACCTCATACATGAATTCCAGAGTGAAATTAAACTAAAGCATCATCTATCTACAAAAGAAAAACTTTTATAAAAGTTATGTCTTACAAAGCATAGTCAAGACATCTGCTGTGCACACATTCTAAATTACAAAGGTAGATTTTATTGCTTTTAAAAAACAACATTTCAGAAAGCCAGTTAATTGAAATTATAAACTACATTTATGTGACTCAATTGATTCATCACAGACTTGATGTGCATTTTCCCCTCTTCCACCAAAGTGGAACTTGTCCCGTTAAGGTAAAACAGCACTGAAGCACAAGCATGCTGACATGCAGAGTAACATTTCAAAACGGCAACAAATTACAGGTTTGTATCATTGTGAAACACGAAGCAAGAACAACAAGCGGTAACTGTAGGAAAAATGAGCAGTTGCAGAAAAAGGTAAAGGAAACAAAGTGTGAACTACTTTTCATCCCAGCCAAAACAATCCTCCAGTCCATCAGAAGGGACACTTGATACTACACAGCTGTCTGACAGCAGGTCAGAGTTGGGGTATTCACTATTTCCTTCAAGCTTTCCACACAGTCTGTACGAAAACTAACTGTACTATCAGGAAAAGGCTAAGAAAATGCAATGCACTGTAGAAACCACACCTTCCAGAAAAATTAAGACCCATATGTGAGTTTCTATTTGTCATCAATTTTTCATCTGATCAGGTGCAAATTAAACAGTGATAAGCAAAGCTGAGCTCACGGTATCTTGCCTATCACCAATAACAAACTGAAGCCTGACTAGTGCCAGGTAGTACTACTTACAAGCCAGAGAAGAACTGAGGTCATTCTTCCATAGCTGTTTTTGATAGTGAAGTAGAAGATTAAAAAGAGAAAAGTTGAGGAAAAAGAAGGAAAAAAGATAAAGTAACAAGTTATATCATAAGTGATTTTATTTGTGTCAGGACCGAGTATGGACAGCACTAGAATAAGAAGCAACCATTTTAAGTCTCCATCTTTTACCAAAGTTCTTGAAGTTCACAGAATCATATCAAAATTATAGTTTTCATCTGAATTTCTATCCTTTCACTACAAAAAAACTTGGAGGCTACAACAATCAAACTTGGCATGTTTGTTGTTGCAACATAAGCCAGTGCCTAAATAGCTGCTGTATGCCATGATCTACTGCCAATGACAAACAGCAATCCAGAGGTCTCTAGACCTTCCAGAAAAGAGGGGATTTTTCAGACATTCTATATGTTTGTAACTGCAGAAAACTCAAGAATAATTTTAAAACAGTCTTCAAATTTTTCAGTGTCCAGAGTATTTTTAAAATATTCACTGTTCAAAAAATATTTCCTGGTGAGAGTATTTATCAGATTCCGTATTCTTCTCGTATTTAAAATAATTTTTTCACTTTTTTAACCTTGTGTAAGAAGCCTTAAACTTGCTATCCTAGTGAGCAAAAAAGTGATAGATGCAAGATGAAAGTATTGTGAACTAAAATGACTGAACAGCTAGTAACAGCTCTGAAATCCACGCAGCAGAGTGTGACAAACAGCCTCATGGAACATTCTGGCTGGAGATCCTTTACTGCATATTATACACCTTCAGAAAACTACCATGGAACTCTTAGCTACAAGCATTAGTAGAGATAAGGCAGAAACTGTGAGGAGTAAACCTCACCAGGCCAAGTCCTGGGTATGAGACTGCTAGGGAGACCTTGGGTCACAGCTCTCAAAAATTAACTACAAGATGGATACACAAAAAAAAAGTTTCATTACTAAAGTTAATTAAAATACAAGAAAAAATGTTATTCTTTACTTACCTGCCAAACCCCAACCATAGGACAAACACGGAATTCTCAAACATCTCCTGTCATCACAACAACCTAACCTCACTCCCTGCACTGCCTGCATTTAGGAGAAAACTAAGGAACTTGATGAAAAAACTCTATTTCACAAAGGATGGATAAATTTATCAATAAAAATCTTGTACTTCACAGACAGGCTTTCAGCATTTTCATATTAGTCACTTTCCAGATTGTGCTTTTATTATAGACACTGAAGACAGTTATCTTGATTTTGTCAGAATGATGTTCACCAACATATGAAATGAAAGGTGGAGAAAAAAAAAGAGTGTAACAGGAAGACTTAAATTCATGCACATTCTTTAAGGAGGGAGACACTCCCATATATATAACTGAATTTTGACTATACTATGTAAGCAATTGCATGCATTATCTCAGCACTGTATATAGGGGCTTTTAAACTCTGCCACTAATGCTAAAACCTTCAAATGTCCATATTTTGATCTCAGAGATTTAAGGTTAGAAGTAACCAGAGCTATGCATAACCTGGGACAGGTTTAATTTCAGACAGAATTTCTCAAGAATTCTGGGTTTCAGTAAGACAGAGACATACAGCTTTAAGGTGTGGAATGCCTTAAGACATTCTATTAAGAATTCTATACTTTGAATCTAAGTTTAACTTTCTATACTTTGAAAGTTCTGTTTTAAGTGATGGAAAAGTGTTGTCTTACATGTAGCAGCTGGCTTTGAGCTGGAGATTTCCCCAACAAAGATTGGCTCATCATCATCGTCTTCATCATCCTCTTCCACTTCTCTCACTCTCTGTTGCCAGGGTTCTAGCTCCTCTTCTTCACATTCCATAAATAATTCTGCCATCTTGAGACTAGACAGTAAAAAAAAACAACAAAAAACACACACACCAAAACATTTAGTACTTTGATGCAACACTTCACTGCTCAATAAGGAATACTGCACTTGTCAATAATTCCCATAGAATGGTCTCCCTCCCTCCATGCTCTTTACAGATTGAACATGATCTGACACAGGAGATCTTCAAAGATTGATGCCACATCACCATTCTGACAATTACTTGGATGCTCATCTTTGCTATTAAAGAGAAAAGACAAAAGATATCCTCCACAGAATTTAAGCTATTTTTGTGTAAAACACCAGTGACTATCAGAGGAAGCCTCTGACACCACAGTGAAATGTATCTTTTAAAAAATTCCAGGTAAGTGATTCACAAGAAACATGAAGTGCCTTCTAAAAGGCACATAACAGAGTCAGTGAAACAGTGATTACATCTTCATTCTCTTTGCATATTAAAAATCCCAACACAAACAAAATAAAACCCCACCCAAACTCACAGCATCCCAAATTTTCTAAGATTTTGCCAAGGCTTCCCATAAGGTCACATTTTCTTTAAACCCCGACAAAACCTACACAAAATTCCCAAAAATCCACAAAACAACATCAACAAGAACAAGCAAACCACCCATCAAAAACAATTTAAACAAACAAAAACTCCACAACAGCAAAATCCCCAAGTTGTACCTACAATGCTTTGCCTACCACTTCCATTACCGATTAAGACATGATAAAAATTTTCATAGATCTCATTAGATGTGAAGTCCCTCATGCCTGTAGATGTTTTCTTGCATTAAAAAAGTCATGTATAAAACTAGTCATGAAAAATCTGTACTTTTTAGAATTAACCAAATTTACATCAGCACCTCTTATCACAATTGATTTTATTTGTTTTTTAAATAAACAGAGATGGCCAATAAAGTTTTCTTCTTTTAACATAACCTTGAATGTATTTCTGAACAACAAAATAAGTAAGAAATGTTGCTATTTCTTTATATGGAGTACCAATAACCTAACACAAGTGCAGAAATAATTAGTCTGTAACAGCTTATCAGGGGAGCAGACAAGCATCCTCTACCTGTATGAGAATGGGGCTGCTGGTGTTAGCACATGTTAAGATGTGAGATGAAACAGAGAAATGGCCTAGGGTGACTTTTTGATCCTTGTATCTCCAAACTGCTCTGTTCATGCTGGATTTACACCTTGGCCAGTGCCAGACCCACTACACAAAGCTCAACTCCTCCTTTGCTTCCTCCATCAGCTGAGAGTGCTGAAGTCAGACATGGTGCTAGGAAAGAAAGAGAACAGGACCCTAAACTAAATTATTGTATGGAGGAAAAGGTAGATTCTGAAGTGAATTTCCACTTGACAGAGAGAACACAGGCCACATGCCAGGCCCTGGAAAGAGAATCAAGCCTAACTCTAAAACTTTTTCTTCTCTGTAGGACATTCTTTAGAACATTGTTTTATAACACTGAGGCAAAGTTTAATAGGCCTTAAGGCAAAATAAATTACTATTTCAGAGGCTTATTTTACAGAACAGGCAACATAAATGATCAGTGTTTTTATTTTAAGAATTTAGTATTACTTGACCTCAGAGGAAAAAAGGAATAAATTATAAAATGTGCTCAGAGGATGCAATGTAATTTATACTAAAAACACTAAACAGGCACAAGCAACCTCACACGTTAGCAGAATGCTAACCAGATACATGTAGTAACCTCACCTACACTGTAACACAGCCAATTTTTTCCTTAAATACAGTTATAAAAAACTGGATAACACAGCCATGGGCTTTTAGAAAGTGACACCAACTGCTGATACCTCTTATGGATATTTCACTTTATGCATCAGGATACACACATTAAGATACTCTTAAAGGTGACTCAGAATACAGAGCATCTTTTAAAAGGCAAGTATCATGATTAATTTCACATCTTTTCATTAATTTTTTTTTTATTGCAATGTCATAATTTGAAGCCAAGCTTTCACTGACTTCTCTTTCCTGGGAAGAAAGCTGGCCTAATGAGTTGCTGCCCTGCTCCTGCACTGTGTCCTCAGTTGTGCCAGCCCAACTTTGCACAGAACTATGGTGTGAAGCAGAGCACGTTAAAAATAACCTGGTCTAGTAACAGTTTTATCAGCACAATTGAGAGGTCAAAAATCTGTAGCCTAAACAATCAAAACTGCAGCAAGGGGTAATTAATTGGATTAGAGGAGATGTACAGGAACAGCTCCTGCAAGTGGTCTCCATTGCCAAAGGAAACCTCTACATCCATGTTTAGAGTACAAATAGCTTCCAAAGTTTTAGCTTTTTTAACTACATTAACACACAAAATGTATTCTAGGAATCCTGTTAGCAGTGCTCTCAAAGACAAAACCAACTGTGAATCTTTTCCCCACGCTGCTTAAATATTTCCCAGTGGTGGTGCAGACACCAGTGTAAAAAAACGCAAACCTACTGACAACAAGACTTTATCTTCCTCATGTTTGAATGTGCATAAGCATACATTCATGTTTATACACACATTTCCTTAAAGGTGCTCCACGGAACCGAGAGGTGCAAAACTCCAACGCGACGCTGAATGCATAGACACAAACAAAGTGTTGAAAATGGTATTGTAAGGTAAAGCATCAAAATTGCGAAGAACCTCTTTAAAACACTTTAAAAATAACATTATCAACTATATCAAGATATTGCTTTAAAAAGCAACTGCCCATCTAAAACTAAGCATAGCTATGGAAGTTCATTAAGCAGGCACAAATAACCAACAACCTGCAAAAACACAAGCCCTGGAACACTACTATAGTTACTAGGAAAGTGATGAACTAAAAACCTGATACAGGATAGATTACAAAATGAGAGCTCATTACCCTAAACAGCAATAAGCTTCTGATAAAATAACTGTTTTAAAAGCACTATTTTAGCCATCTTTATCATGGCAGTTAGGTTTAAAAATACCTAACTTTAAAGAAAAAGAGGTTATAAATACAGCTGGCTTTTAATAAAGTTAGGACTTAAAAGCACTCGCATAGAAACAACAAAAAAAATCTAACTTGAGTAAATGCATCAAGAGTGTAACAGCTGTAGTGAAAATAGCAGAATGATGTGTAGAAGAGCACCATAAGGATGGACAGAAATTGGCACTACAGAAAATCACAGTAGATATAGCCACAGTAAGACTTAAGAGTTACTGAAAATCCCGTTACCACTTCAAATGGGAATTTGTCTGTTCCACTGTTAAGATCAAGTGAGCCCTTCAATACTCAAAACTTCCTTGGATTAGCCTAAAGTCAAATAATTAAAATGAAATTGGTAGTGAGCTCAAAGAGTGAGGACATTTACACTAATCAGAAGTATGTCAGACTAGCCTTGTCACCTTTTCATAATAGAATCATGGAATATTCTGAATTGGAAGGGTTCCACAAGGACCACAGTGTCCAACTCTTAGTCCTGCACATGACATCCCTAACAATCACAGCACGTGTCTGTGAGCATTGACAAAACTCTTCTGGAACTGGAAGGTTTGGTGCTACAACCACTTCCCTGAGGAGCCTCTTCCAGTACCCAACCACTCTGTGGGTGAAGAATCTTTTCCCAATATCTAACCTGAATCTCCCCTCACACATTTAAACCATTCCCTCGGGTCCTGTCACTGGTCACCACAGAGATCAGTGTCTGTCCCTCCTCTTCCCCTAATGAGGACCGCCATGAGGGCTCCCCTCAGTCTCCTCTTCTCTAGATCAAGTGACCTCAGCCACTCCTCATACGGATAAATCATAATTTTTCCTCACTTTAATAGCTGCATTTCAGATGTCCAGAGAAGTTACCTTATTTACAACACAGATCACACAATGGACTACATGATGTATTTCTCAGATAACGTCCCATACAGGCACATAACTTTCCACCACATTAGTTGATGAAGGGTGTACAATCCAGAGCTCCATCAGGACTGGGAACAAATGGATTATAATTGAGGGCTGCATTTGTATAGTAGCAAAGAAACAATGATCAAGCTAAAAGTGCACCTGAAAATTGTAAAAAAACCAAAACATAAACCCACTTCCCTAAAACACAAACCTCAGGAGCCAACGCTGCCCTCTGTGCCATGAGAAGGCACAAGCTCCGCCTAGGGAAGGGCAATTTCGGCGGTGCCAGCCCGCCAGCAGCTCACG